ATAAACTATCGGTGCTACACTGATATAAATCAAAGTGACACCCAAATGGGACAGTAAGTTGCTTTTATCCATTATTTTGTCAGTTTACTCCTCTCAAAAATGTATTATGGTATAGATTAAATAATGTTGACAGGAAATTAAAGTATCTAATGTAACAAGTTGTTTAATAACCTGGTATCAGAGTATGATGTTTATTCATTACTGAGGTGAAATGTAAGAACATTAGCATATTTGTTGTGTGTTATCAAGTAGGTTTCTGTAGATGAGAGATGTTTCAGTGTGTTTCTTACACCTATTCACCTCCTGTTCATATTTCTACCAATACATTTCCTTCCCCCATACAAAGAAAAACTATTATTTCTTACCAGAATTCATTGTATCTGCTGGGGACTGTGTTGATGCTGGTTTTAAATACTGACCCTATCTCTGTTGCCCAGAATAAGTTTCTAAGACAGACTTTACTTTTTACTCTCAGATGTTTATTTTTTACCTATCCTATTTTCTAGAGTGATGATCTATTATCATCTGTTCCCTGGCTTGTATCTTTAAATCCTTTATTTTCTGATGTTATAAGATGAATCTGTTTTAAGGAAGTTGCTTTTATTGTTTTCCTTTCAACCAATTTTTAGACAGATCGCTTACCAGATTATTTCCGAGTTACTGTTCATTTCACTGGGCGCCATGATTGAACAGCTATGTCCTGAGATGTTTTTATATTGCTCTCTCATAACCGTAATGACACTATGGATAAGTTAATATTCCAATACTAGTTATAAGGTTCTCACCGTAATGTGAAAACTGGTAGTTAATTACATTGAAATCCTGGCATTAACAAAATAGAGAATAAAGCACATATCACACACACTCTTTAAGACAACTTGAAACATACACTAAAAATGCCCACTTCCAGAAATCTTAGATGTTCCAAAGAAAGGTGACTGAGCCTTCCAGATTTCTAGTTTACAGTGAAAAGTGTCATGTTTTCGGCTGTGAAGTTCAGTGTTACCTTTCAATTGCCTATAACCTAACTTTCTAATTTGTGTGTAATCTAGATCCATCTTCACTCTTCTGAACAATTAGGTCCTGTTCATAATTCTACACATATAATGATTGGAAGAAAAAAATTTAAAAATAGAGTAGAAAATAGGAAAGGGAAAGATGAGGCAGAAATAGTAAGCAATGAAAAACTTAAAAAGTTCTCACGTTGCTAATTGTCGCCAGGAGTAGAGAGGGGTTTTCATGCCTTGTGGAGCCCTGGCGAGAAAACAGTCCTGAATTGGGACTCACTGGCAGAAAACTAGAGCAGATTGTGGCCCAGAAAATAAATAACAAAGACAGTACTTGCTTATCTCTAGCTTTATCTAGGGAAAAAAAGCGCTGTCCCTGGCATCAACATAGATAATGGTTATAGCTTAACTGTATTATCTTATGTTCATAGTAATAGCAGCCTAGTTGGGCTGGACCCTTAGTGTTTATCACAGTTACTCTTTCTTTGAAGTCGAAACACTAAGGTAGAAGACCCAGAAAAATGTATGACGGGGGAAATAGAGACACCTCAGTAAAGAGTTACCTAGAGGTCTTCTTTTTATTTGAGTTCCCTGGGTTGCCCGGACTGTTACATAATCATGTAGTTGAGTGCCCTCCAGCAACCTGTGGGACAGGTATCATAATTTCTACCTTATGGGTGAGGGATTGAAATTCCATGGGCTTGAGTACATTTCTTAGGATGACATAACTAGAAAGTAGTAGCAATGCTGAGTTTGTACCCACATTTCTCTAAAATTAAAGTTCCTTGTCTTCACCTAATGTACACGGTAAAAGACAGCACTCTCCCAGGTAGCTAGAAAAATTTAACTGTCAGATGGACAGTTGGACAGATGGAGACATTCATAAATAGTTGTACAATTAATGAAGAAATTATGTATATAATCGCATACACTATAACTTAAGTTTTCATTGTGATACATCTGATTTTGTTACTGTCTTCCTTATACCCTGTGTTTGGCATCTTTACTATTAGTTATTCCTGAACTTGACCCAAACCCAAAGTGAATTTGCTCCTGTCCCAGGAGCGACCTTGCTGATCAGGGCTCCTTGGGAAAAGCCCATCTCGCTTCAGGGAAGCTGCCATCTCTAGGCTGGTGATAGTACTTGCCCAGAGGACAGTTTTAAATTGACTGGACCAGTTGAACCCCCAGAATAAATACAGGCTCCTGTTTTTCTAGATTCACTGTAAAATTAATCTAAGACAATGTGGTATTTCCTATTCAAAAAGTTTCAACAATATTATTCTTCCCCCCAAAACTGAAAATGGTGTCATTAACTTGACTCCCACATAGCATGTTGGACTACTCTACAATAGCATTCTTAAAAATCTATTAAATTCTTTTAAAGAAAAGCATGATTAATTTTCCCAAGATTGGGTTAAATTATTTCCTTACAACTTGTGTCGAAATATATACAGATACAAAATTAGCTTATTCATAAGCTCTAATTCAACTGTGAAACCCAAACCCAGAAATTCATTTTTTCTGAAACAACAAAGCTAACAAAATTCAAATGTTCTACTGCTTCCCATCTATAATAAATGATATTATTTTTCTGAAAATAAATTTAACCTCTCAGAAAAAAAAGAAATGTGCTGGTTGACATTGCATTTTATTTAGGTTGGACATGTCCATACTGACGAGAGAAAATTAATGAGTCAATTTTCCCTTTACTTGTCTCCAGAATGTTTGCAAGTCTGTTCACACAGCACACCACAAGGTCCTTTGGCCTACACCCTGGGTGAATCCCTTTTTATTGTATTAATTTCACCTCTGTTGTCTTCTAATTAATTCTCCAAGGTGTTAGAAGTATTTTAAATATAACCCCAAACAAAATGCCTGAGATAATGTAGCATTGCTCAGTTAAAATTTGTTCACATAAGTCAGTAGATACTTGTATTATTTTGGTTGGATTATGTTCCCTATTTAAAAGATATAGTTCATGTTAAGAACTCTGAGATCCTGGAAAATTCATCACAAATGCACAAAAATCTGGAACCCCCATTTAAGGAATATATTTCTCAAATGCATCAAAAATTTAAAATAAGAATCCATTAAATGGTTATTTGGGGGGATTTGAGTTAACAAATATAGTAACAAGTGGGAATGATTTTCAAATTTGTGTAAAGATCATGAACAAAACCTCTCATGTTAATTTTCATTCTCTCAAAAAAAATTGTGTTAAGCATCCAGGCAAGGTGAAGATCAATGAGAGGAGCTTCAAGAATTGCAGCAAGGACAAGGAGACACTCCTTAGCTTGGGAAGCGTTATGTAGCAGGGCGCATGAGGCATGTACTCCAGCACAATCCCGTGCAAGGTGCGCCGAGTGCCATAGGGATGCTAAATCGTGCATGAGTGCCAAGAGGGAAGGCAGAAATGGTCCAAAAGACATAGATTCTGTACGGGTCCCAATTTCTCCATGCTTTCTCTACCTCTTCATTATATAATTTTCCATAAAATGCTGAGGTGCTAGAAGTCATAAAAATCACTGTATTGATTTTCGAATATCCGAATTTTAATGAAAATTATGCAAGTGAGGTAAATGATCTATTTCCGTGTTTAACATGGCCCACAAGATATATAGGTAGATAGGTAGGTTGGAAGGTAAGGGGGATAGAGAAAGAGATTCAAAATGTAGTCAGGGATAGCAGTTGTGTCCTTTAGGTAGATGAACAGGTATTTTCCTTGATTCATACTTTTAAACTTAGATAGATTCTAAGTGATTGTTCACCCAAAAAGCCTAGTTTTTGAGCTCTGTACTCTCCGGTGGGGTTAAGAAGACATTCCAGAGAACGCTAAATCTTAATGAACCAGGGAAAAGCAGGCAGATCTCCCCCAGTCTGCCTGTGAGTGGGCAAATTTCAATCATGAGCCAAGTAAAATTTCAATGAAATACTTATTCTAAAATTTTGACTAAAATTATGAGAACAAACCTCACCCCATCCTCCGCCCCCCCACCCCCTTGTCAAATTCAACTTGTTTCTATTCAGGGTGTGAGTGGGCTTATTTCCCAGTATGGTAGACATTTTTATATGAAAATAATGGGAAGTTAAATCCTGTGGAATTTATGTCTAACCTAGAATATATTCTTAATCTCAAAATGCTTATTTCATCTTTTGTTGATACATGGAACATCATATCTTGAGTGTTTTTCTGGCTAGGTTATATAAAATTAGCATCGATATGCTCCAGGAGATGCTACGTTAGTCCAAAAACTAGTCATCGGGAGTCTCACAGACTGATCGCCTTAAGGACGAAGCCCCCCTTCCTTAATGGAACTGCTGTGCTCACTAGGCGAGTGCGTATCCCAGGACCTGAAAGACCTTTAAGCATCTACTATCTAGAAAAGGAGCAGCTCTCGACCGTCTCATCTATCATCTCCATGTATTTCATTCAAACTTTATCTTCTCAGATTTTTCTGAATTGCTCTTGTTTATGCTGATCCTGAACAACACTCTTTAATCACAAATTCATATTTTGAGACATCTTTTTTTGGTTTTAAATCATGGTGTTTCTGCCAATCAGCATAGAAACTTATTTTAATGACACTTTCCTGGAGTATTCCTGGAGTAACAAAACTACAAAAGATACATTAAATCCAAAATGAATTCTCTCTTGTCTTTGAATTTGCTTCACTAGGTACAAAAAAAATTGAATTTTTTCTGTTTCTCTAAACAGCTTTTTAAAAATAAACTGCCATGCCTATTACTTATTTTCCTTTCATTCTGTGTTTGTTTGGCTTAGAATGCCAGTTCCTTTTATTTTTCTCTTTTTTTCTTTTTTCTCTTTATGGTTACAATATATGTATTTGTGTTTGATCTGCAATTCAGTACTCTTTGGGGAAGAAGACAAGAGGAAATGAAATTCTAATTGGCTGTATCATTTATTCTTCCTCTTTGCCACCTGTTTTGCATTCTCATCATTTTCTTTTCTGTTATTGCTATTTGTTACAGAGGAGGTGTCTGCAAGGATAGTTCAAGTAGTCACGGCTGAGGCTGTAGCGGTCCTGAAAGGCGAACAAGAGAAAGAAGCTCAGCATAAAGACCAGCCTGCAGCTCTGCCTTTAGGTAAATGAGAAACCACCTCAGATCAGCAGCTGTGTCTGCCACACCCCGACCGCAGGATCAAGTCCTCTGTTCAAAGATGGGCCGGGCGTGTCCCATGCTCCATCCTCACGTGTAACATTCATCAGAAACCCCTGTTGGGATGCACTGGGATAGTTTTCACCTCTCTCAACAGGGTCATTGTGGTCTTTGGGTCATCTTTAGGGTGATAAGCTTATAGTTAGACTTTGCTCCTAAATTACCCTTAATTTTCTTTTCCAGACCAGACAAGAATGTTATTATAAAAATAAAGCCAATGCATTTTGATGCCATGGCCCCCCCACTCATAAGGAAAATACACTAATAGTTTAATCAGAGATAATTGTTTCCCTTTGTGAGTTGTGGTTAATGGTTGTTGATACTACAGTCTTGTTTGGGTCTCCCAGAACCAGCTACATAAAACCTGTAGCCAGAGATCTATTAGAATCATCAGTGACTTTGCATTCCATGTAAGATACTGGTCTTTACTTGGTTCATTTAAGGGCACTGAGATGACATTTCTCTCCCTTGGTCACAAGTAAAATGCCTTCCAGGGCCAGACAAACAGGTAATGTAATGTTGCTTACCAAGGAAAACACTCTCAGCTCAGGGCCTGCTGCCCCTACTGTCTATCAACAAGTAGGTAGGTAGGTAGGTAGGTAGGTAATATACATACATGCTGAGACACAGGAAAAGAAACTCTCTTAGGTTCAACACACAGGTTTATTTCACAAGTACATAGGTATAATCCTTAGAAATTTTTTAAAGCCTAAAAATAGTACATACATTTTTTTCTCTTATAGTCTAATGAATCCTTAAGATTTGATTTGCCAATCAGTAAGCCCTCAGTTGTATATTAGAAATTAAGCAATAAAAAATTCTCCTTTCCCAGAATAATCATTTAAAATACTCTCATTATTTTTCGTAAAGTATTCTTGATTATCAATTATATTTCTCTCAAAACAGAGAAGGAAAAATTATCTAAAACATTGACCTTTTGTCTGTGCCTCACTTCTATTGTTTGAAGTAAAAGAAATGCCCACTTTTTCCTTTTTAATTTGAAACCTTAAAGTATGCCACATAAAGGTCAAGGAACTGAAGAGTCGCCTGTCATCCCAAAGCTGCCTCTACTAACTCCTTTATTTTGAAATAAAAATTTTCATAATTTTTAAAATAGATTTTACCACTGGCCTTGACTTCTATTTCCTTTTGAAATCCTTACCTTCATATGAGTGGTCATGAAGTATCTTGAATAGGAAACTTAGAGTTAACTGGGAATGAATTACATCTTTTAGAACCTGTCTCTTTGGTCCTCCTTCATGTATAAAGGCAAGGTCAGAAAATTACTCAGCTCCCACTGGTACTTGGTTTCTGTCTGAAGGTTGCTCTGGCGATGATAGCTTCATTTTTCTTTTCTGCAAGTATGTACAGATGGTGGGTTTCGATATTAGACTCAGTGGACAAAATGTTATTTAAAAAATGCGTTACCTAAAATAACTGTTGAATGATCAAGGTAACATTTGTTTCCAGATAAGAAATTGAACAATAAAGAATTCTAATATTTTTTCAGTCCATGTAGCCAAATCTAAACCAAAATGCCTGCCTGTGTGTGTTTCAGTATAGTAGATTAGGGCCAGCATGAAATATTTTATTAATTGAACAAGAGGACACAAATTATGGGATTACTGATAGAATTTTATCAAGCATCTCTAATTCATTTTTATGGAGAAGATAAAAGGATTATTTTAAAATATTAAATACTCTTCTTTCTTTTTAGGTTTTCAAAAATATATGACTCAGGCAATGGAGCTAAAAATAAGTCAAGTGCAGCTTACTATTGAACCTTCTCCTGAATTTCATAGAATTTCATAGAAATTTCCTGAATTTCTGCCTTTTTACAGATGGCAGAACTTCCTACATATCTATTTGCCTAATAAGATTGATTATCATATCTCATTGTTTCATTGTTTGATCTTTAGCAGCTGAAGAGACAGCTAATCTGCCTCCTTCTCCACCCCCATCACCAGCCTCAGAAAAGACCGTTGCCGGGGAGGAAGGTAAGGCCTGTTGGACCATTTCAGGTTTGTCTTGATAAATATCAATCCCTCGGTCCATAAGCACTGGACTTCAGTATGAGTTCATAAGCGACCCAGCTTGGGAGCTGTCTGTTTCAGATAGTCAAAAAGAAACCAAGACTTTATCATCAATTATCTATATAAATCAGAAGTAGAGGAATATGGTAAACAAAAACAGAGATATGTGCTTGATAAAGGATAAGATAACTTTTTGTTTAGATTGCTAGAATAACTACATACAACCAGTCTACTTAATGTAGAATATTTTGACAAAGAAGGTACAATTTTATCTTATAAGAGACTAAACAAAAATAAATTGATGAAATCAACACTTATGGAAGTGTTGTCAAGAATTGTCTCTTTTGTTGAGTATTGCATTGCTAAGGCCTTCCCCAGGACCTGAGCTGCTGCAAACTCTCAATACATATTAATGAATAAATGAAGAAGTTAATGAATGAATCTGATATAGAGAGCATTGAGCTGGAAGCTGAGATCATGGCGCCTTTCCTGCTGAGACCTGTTATTGTCCATGAGTCTATTTATGCGGTTACTCCACATGAAAAGCCATGTCAGCTTTTGAATGCCCCTTGATACAAACAGAGGGATGTCTTTGAAAAATATTCATTCAGAACCAGAGATGAATGGCACTATGTAAAAGCAAACTGTCATTGGTCCTTAGATCAGTTAGCGTTTGTATATTGTTTGAGTTACTGGAGGAGGCAAAGGAGAGATGCCTCTCACTTGTTTTAATACAGTTTTCATGCACTAAAATCAGAATTTTAACACTGTTCAGTTTTATTCGTTTATTTCTTCATTTATTTTTGTCTCTTCTAGAGATCTTTTTATGGTGTTAAAAACTGAAACATCGCAAAAGACTCACTGTCTTTTTATAATTTGTAATTAGGCTTATTTAAAATATTGTTTGATTTCCTAAATACAGATTCTCCTAAATTTTGTAATTTGTAATTAAATCCATTTAAATTATTATTTAATTTCCTAAATATGAACTTTCCTTAATTACTATAAATGATTAATAAACATAATTTACTTTTGTCACAGATTTATAATCCAAAAGTATTTTAGCAAGGTATTTCTTTCTTAAACTGAAGCCTTTTTTCAGATTTACTGCCTGAAATAATGTTAAACAAACCAGGTTACTTTGGTAAATACAAGAAAATTTGGGGACTATGATCAGTACATTTAATCAGTGTCATACAAGCCACTGATTATTAGTTAATTCCCTGAAAATGTCATTTGATCATTTAATTCATAGATTCGAACGATTCTTTTTTCCTCACGTTCATCCATTCATTGGGCATATTAATGGAGAGCCTACAATGTACCCAGTACTCTTCCCATTCTGGGTATTCATTAGTGACAAAATAGACATGATCCTTGTTTGTAAGGAGCTCACAGTCTAGCGGAGAACAGAAATCCAATAAATAAGCTTACACGTGATTTTGAATTGGATTAGCACTAGGAAGGAAAAGAACAAGATAAATCTATTTTTTATTGGATGGTAAGGGACAGCTAAGAAGCCGAGCCTAGAAGCTTGAGGAAGCATTGGTCAAGCAAAGCTGGAAGAAAGGGGCATTTGGGGCAGAGAGACCAGGATATGCACAGGCACTCAGGTGGGCAAGAGCATGTAGTTCTCTAGGAACTGAAGGAGTCACAAGGCTAATGGTGAGTGGGACCTGGGCGGAGTAGTGGAGAATTGGAGAGGAAGCAGCAGCCAGCCGCCTGGGCTCAGGGGCCTGGATTTCACTCTGAAGATACTTCGAGGACTTCCAGGTCAGCTGTACTTCCCTCCGGTAATGGAAAATGTTTCTGAGCCCCTACTTACAGCCTTTCCAGTGTCAGAGAATCCTCTTAACCAAGAGAGGGGTACGATGTTGATCCAAAGTCAGCCGGATATCAAGTAAAATACTCTTCTTATTCTTATATGGGGCCGAAACAGGAAGGGCATGAGGGTCCTCAGTCCATCTGGGAATTCACCCAGTCTGCCTTTTATTTGCGGGGAGGGGTGTTGTAGTGGAATATGGAAATATAATGAAAATATAAATAAAATATAGAATCACACTTATATTTGGGTAACTTAGGTGTCCCTTTCTAGAGAGTATAACCTTCCCTTATATTTCAGGATTGCTTTCTCCAGGCTGTTTCAGTATATTCCAAGAAAATGTCAGCTCACCACTTCCTGTCGAAAGCAATTCGAAGATATTTTTTTCTTAACATTTTTCAAACTTATATTCTCACTGAAGTTTTTTCAAAAAATTATTAAGTGATTATCTGTGAAGTCCTAATTATGTGTTTTTAAGAGGGTAACCATTTTTTGAGTTATATTGAAAACGTATGCATTTTACAAACTCTACTTCATTAATTTAAAAGACTAAGTAATATTCTCACCTTAAATATGTGAAAGACTTGTGGTCTAGACAGTCACACCATCCTTTCTATTTTATTTTTAGCCACTTGCAAAGCACATATAAACATCTTTTTAAGTTCATTTTATTAGGAAATAAATTAGTGACAAGTCACAAGACAGGATTCAGCTCCTTGATGTATCAAACCACATGGTTTCTAAAGGCCCAGCTGAAATCCAGTTAATGTGTCGTGCATGGCAGGCTCGGTGGAGACGGAACAGCTGGAGTATTTTTTTTCTAGAGACTTTTACCCTCCTGGACACACCCTCTAAGCACCTGTGTCCATCCCAACCCAACCCTCTTCTTACAAAATGTAAGACCTCTTGGGTTAATTGAGTTCAGTGATTTTGAGGATAGACTTACTTTTTTAAAATTCATTATCGAACATTTTAAATCCGCTCTTTTCCAGAGGGGAAGCAGGAAAGTGTCCATTTAAAATAAAGAGCTTAATTATTATCATCTATGAATATTTGTATATGATAATCAATGTAGTATTAATCATTCCCCAAGTAGTGCTTATTCTGGGAAATATTTAAAGGGATTTTGATGAAAAAATTAAACAAGTAGCACACTTAGGAAGGAAACCCAGGTATAGGAAACTAATACTATACTAGTTAGGATGTTTTCAAGTTAATTGTCTTCTTCTTGTGGGCCTAAGCATAATAGCTGTCATCTGGACTTGGAAGCTCATGCGAGAACAATGGACTCATCAGCAAACGGAACCAGGGCTCTTTCTGCCTTCTTAGGTTTGCTCCAGAACGTTAGAGTGGTTCTCTCCTGTGTCAGTGATGTGGCAACATTGTAATTGCTAATCTGAAAGCCATTTGCCCTCCATATCATCCTGGGACAGCAAACCCAGTTGGCAAACAGAGGAGTCCTCAGTCAAAAGCTTGTAGAACAGGCAGGACTTGGAGATGGCAGAGAACAGTACAGTGCACATGGAGCCAGCTGCCTCCAGCCACGGGCTGTGGGGCAGAAGTTATGATGCCAAGACAAAAACCACTGAGTCACAGATACCCCGTGAGACTCAGTCTCTCGTAAAAGGGACTATTCATTTGTTCCAAAGGGGGCTGACATACTGAGCTTGGGTTTTACATGACCAGCCTTACTTTAACCCAGCATAAATTTTCAAATGCTTTAAAAAAAAGAAAAAGTTTGTATGAAAGCAAGTTAGGGAAAATGTGTTCATCTACCGAAACTGTTTTTGAAGTTTAGCATTATAAAAAAGAGCTATGTAAAACCCCAACGTTCCTAAGGCTACCCTGTGCTTTAAAATAGCACATTATTACAATGAAATGGACTAGTTTGTGGCAAGTGTCTCCAAAAGCATGTGTACTTATAATAAAAGGAGGCATTCAATTCTGACCTTAAACAGCAAAATTAACTGTCATGAAATGAGGATACTTTTTCATAACTCTCTCCAGTCTAGCTTCGATGTGTCAAATGAAAGCAGAGAGCAGAGGTACATGATAATTTGCCTGACTGCACTGAAGGGTGCTAACATATATGGGGCCCAGCATTGTGCTTGGTGCCTCCTCAGACAGCTTCTCACTTAATCCTCCCAGCCACCCACAGAAAGAGATAATAATATTCACTTCTGCCCCTTGCCCTGGATACCGTGGCTATTGTATGCTCACCCAGAATTCAAAGCCAGACCTAAGCCCCTGCAGCCACAGCCCCACCGCATCCCTAAAGCTGTTTCTTATCTAGGTTCTTAGTGAGCGACTACAAAAACAAAGTGACCTTCCAATGAGAGGAGGTTTTTTAAATCTCTAATAAGCTATTGCACTAATTTCCATTTTTTAATTACTTCCAAATAAATAATTCATTTATTTAGAATTACCGTGTATCCCACCTCCATCACGTATGAACCAAGAGCACCTACCCTACACCATATTATAGCAAATGAGGATCTGTTGTCTTCTATCACCTTTGCTGGAACCACGTGCACTGTTTGGACTTAGCCGATCATGGTCCTCTACATATTACGTCCCCGGCACCTCTCTAGGACTTGAAAGTAGATGGACTTCAGGCTCACGGGTCCTGAACAGAGACTTGGAGTGCATACAGCTCATAGTACCAGCAGAGGGCTGGACTTTGCCAGGCATTCCTTTTGGAGTTGCCCAGCTTGGTTCTAGACAACTACTACAGAGAAGCTACTTTTTCCACTGCAGCCCTTAAAGTTATTGTTGCTTTTGTTGTTCTCTGACTACAAAGTTTTTAGAAAGAAAATGCTGTTTTTTTGAAATGTGAGAGAGCTAAAGCAAGACTGGGTTGTTTTCACATTTTGGCACTTTCAAAAAGAGCAACAGCAATAAGAAAGGGAGGTCAGCATCTTCAAAAGGTTTGAACCAGTCCAAGGAGTAGTGCCTTTAAACTACCAGGCTCAGCTTGAAGTTCTTCCATTTTACTCTGCAGTCTGCTCTACTCCCCAGAAAACAAACGCTGCGAAGCAGAGAGGTGACTATGCCATTTCTGTTTGTTTGTCGTCCTGACCATCTGGTGAAACTTTTGGAAGTTTTAGAGGTAACTTATTACAGCCTTGGAGAGTCACTGGAGGAATGTGAATGGCTGGGACACGTGACAGGCCCAGGCCTTCTGATTCAGCCAGGGTGGTAGGCCAGATTAGAGCCAGTTATCTGCTCGGCTGACAAATCGTGCCGCGTTCAACTAAGAATATCAGATACAATTTTAGGCTTCTGCCCTCCCATGATATAATAAGCATCATGGATGAGAAAGTTCTGAGCCCCCACCCAGAAACAACTTCCACGGCACCACCAGTCAATAGTGTGCTCAAAAAATTAAAAGTATTCTCGCTACCAAATGTTATTTTGGTATCCTTATGATTTCAGACTTATTTCTAGTTGCCGGCCCTTGGTGGCTGAAAATAAGTTACTGCCTTAAAAATATAGTGCATTTTCAAATTAATGCTCTAATCCTGTCTGCTTAAATTTAGCAATAGAAAGTATACAGAGTTTGTTGTTATTGAGAATTATGAAACTTTTTAAACTTACCCTCTAGGTCAGTAAATAATAGTCGTTAGCAAACTTGGTAGCCTGACACCCAGGTCTGAGATGTAGTGTCTGCTGCACCTCAGAGCCACACAGTGCTCATCATCATCGTCCTTGAAGCTCATGAAAATATACAGGAACCCAAATGTGAAACAGGCTAATTAATCTACACTTATGTGTCTAAGGAAGTCTATTTAAATAATGCTGTTTCTAAGCCAAGACACAGGAGAGGACAGGAATGGGAGCAGTTCCTTTAGCTTTTCAATGAGAAATATGCAGTGAGGGTGTTGAAATAGAAGAACGGCCAAGAGCCAGCAGTACAAGTAAAAACTGTGCCAAATAAAGGCTTGATGAATCGGAAGTCAACTCTGCAGAAATTCTCAGCTAATTGTGTTTCTGTGGAGCTTTCAGAAGAGAAGCAAAACACACGAAAACCAGTTTATAATACGAGGGACTTTCTAAAAACCATGTACTCTCACAGACATGCAAATGAGAACCCATGTTGCAGAGGACTCCCCTGGGACTTAGCAATCAAAGAGGGAGTTTTGCCAACTGCACGTCTCTTAGCAAAGCAGGAAAAAAAAATAGCACATTTTTTAACAATTACTTTTCAATTAAAATCATTAACTAAAAATTAAATTAACCAAAATGCTAATAACTATGTGAGCATCCTAGATATTTAAGGTTGTGCTTCAAACAGGATATTCCCCCCAATCATACAGGCATCAGATCTTAACAACCTCCAGTTTTTTTTTAAACTTACAAGTATATTGATGTAAGCACAAGAGGAATCAATCCACTTAAAAGAACTTCTTCCAGAGGATGCATCTGTTTTGTAATACTTCATTTCCATGCCAATGTTTCCATGGTTATTCTGACTTGTGTGAGGGAAGTGTGTAGATAACATCTGTTATGCACTAGGAGCGTCAGTGCATTTGATTCATTAGATCAATGACAAAATTACTTAAGGGATTGTTTAAATTCAGTGGCTACCGAAGCATGAAACATTCAGTGTCTCCCATCCTCCATCAGCTTGGTCTTGCTAATTCTGCTGCATTTTGCTGTGCTGCTTCTGTGGCCCTTTGTGTCCTTGTGCAGGTGTTGTCTGTCTGTCTGATCTTGTGTCTGTCTTGTCCAGTTCTCCCTGCAGTTTCTTCCTGTGTGTCTGTTTGTAGATGAAGGGGCTCAGGATCAAGTGGGTCCTCTACACAGGTTCCCCAGCCACGAACCTGCCACCAGCGGGAAGAGGCGTAGACTCCTAGCCCCCTCCATCTCGGTGTCTGTGCCTGATGATGACCCTTCCAATTCCGATGAGGAGTACTATGAGCATCCTTTGTTCAGCTCACAATGGACTACCTCTAGTGTGCTCCCCAGTGCCCCAGCGCAGAGTGCAGAGGCCCACTTAGGCCAGGAGAAAGGTGAACCGAGCATGGTCCCCTTTTGCCCCTGCTCCCAGCCTGCAGCTTTGACCCCATGCATCATACTAAGTGTGCCTTCATATGTGTGGTGGGAGGGCAGGAGCCTGTTTTTTCCATATGAATGTGAAGTCCCTATATAGCTTATATCCATCCAAATGCCTCAGCAATTTTTATAAAAGAAGCATTATTTGACGCATGCGAGAACTTCCTTTTTCTGTATTATTACTTCTGAAAAGGAAGCCAGAAAAGGGAGGTAGAAAGGGAGGATCCAAAAAAAAGTCGAGTTAAAGTGTGACTCCTTTCTGCTCCTTGCAAATAAATCAGTCAGGGAAGAATGTATTCTCATATCCAAACAAAAGAAGATGACCCTGAATATAATTGTTCTTCCTTGCATACATAGCACTAGGACCAGACATAAGTGGAATTAGTTACCTTTTCAGTGCCATCAGAGCTTTTTAAGAGAAAAAGTTCTGTTTAGGGCAGAATAAATGTTATGGAATAAATGTATTTGTCCAAATCATTTTTTTTTATCCACAGAAACTATAGAGGCTCTTCCAGGTGACCAAATCTGGGTTCAGATCAGTAGAACTGGGCTAAGGGAAAGGAAGGATCCCTTTGGCGTTCCAGCCTTATGAAGATAGGAGGCCCTAGTTTATGATAGGCTGTGATGAGCAGTGAGCTGCAGTGTTTCTCATTCTAACTAGGTAGTTTTGTAAAGGAAAAAAGTTAGAGCTAAAGAGATTATTTTCACCTAGGCAAAAATAACTTGCTTAAGTGAAGAATTCGTTTTGTATGGGACATTTCTTAATGTACGGTTAAGTAGTTCTGAGACAATGGGGAATAATCTGCCCATGTTCATGATAATGAACTTCTTCCAGGGTCTTTTGGAAAACAAAGAGCACCAATGACTGAGACACTCTGAAAGAGAAATACAACCTATATGGAGTGAAATTAAGTTCTTCTCATAGTGTGAACTTAAAACAAGAAAAAGACGTGAATTCTTGAATAAGGAACAGGTGTAGTGGAAACAAACATGATTTATGCAAAATGACAAAAGGGAAGGCTAAAAAGTTACATGAATTTGGAAAACATGTAAATTAACTTGATTAGGCTTTATCCAACAGGGTGACATAAGTAAAGCAGCCATAAGTCTCTTAGCTGTAATCAAAATCTCTTAATCTATGGCACTATAAAAAATTGCCTTAATAAATTAGAATTAGAATTTATAAAATGTTACTTACATAACTAAATTACAAAAATGAAAATGCCTGAGTACTAAGTGTGCGGAAACAGATGAAGTGATTCTCTCCCCACGCCAATTCCAAAGGTTTTAATATTTCTCAGAAAAGAAAATTTCTTTTCCATCCATTCTCACAGGGCCATTTAAACCATGTGTAATTGTTTTAGAGGAACTTTATAACAATCTTTCATTTGCAAAAGACAAACAGCTTTTATCTAATTCCTCTAATTTCTTAATTGATAAAATCAAATTTATTTTACTGGCGTTTGACGTGTAGAATCAGCATAATTCATGGCCTTCATTAGTTTGGTCTTACATTTTAATTATTAACATGTTTGCATGTGATATGCATCTTTGGGGAAAATATTTTGGCAGTTTGGCTGCCACTCAGTTATCATTCCTTGGTGGTTTTATGGGTTTTTTTGGTTTTTGTTGTTTTTTTTTTTTTTTTGAATGGCAGAAACAAGACTCTGTAGACAGCATGGACATTTTCTTTCTTGTCCAGTGTTAAAGAGAACCACACATGCACTGCCTCACTGACATTTCAGGGGTTTTAATGATATGACAAGAGTTGGGTCCCAGAGGTAGGCTTTTCTAAATAGCTGAAATTGTACCTGAGCCTTGTTTTTCAAAATATTTGCTTACTCTCTGAAAGTTTCTGTATTCTCTAATATCATGCAATACAGTGAAGATAAAATGAGCTGAGTTAGGCAGCCCTTCACCGCAGAAACACTAAATGAATTATATTTTAAATATTTGGTAGACTTCATGGTAAAGCTGTAAAAGTAATCGATTGGATTTTATTTTGAGACCAAGCTTTTTTATTCCCTGAGTTCTTTAGCAAAGTTTGCATGTTTTAAATAAAGTAATCAGAAATTCATATATAGTGACTTCTTGCATTGGATAAAACAGCACATGTCTAACAAATGTAAAGGTTTTTTTCCCCCCAGTGCATCAATGCATCTGTCTTTTTACAACCATCTGTTATCTGGCAGCATCATCTCTTACTTCCAACAAGCTTCTCACATGTGTGCAATGTATGGCCATTTCCACTAAGTGATAATAGAGCAATAAAACCATTTCAGCTCTCAAGTCTTAAAATAAATAACCTGTTAACGAGACTTTAAATGGCATCATTATTAGCAGATTATACCTAATTTTCCAAGTAAAAACTAATGCACTTGCATTAGAATATTAATTTGCTCATCCAAATGGAAAAAGAGGTTCTCCTAAGGTCAATATCATGGAGCTGAAAATGTTTCTTGAATGATATTTCTGTTGTGGTGTGCATTGTTCTGTGGTCATGATGTCATCATCTTTTTCATCCCCAAGAAGAAGAAACGCTAGAGGGTCCAATGGCGGAGGAAGAGAAACCTGCCGCCCTTCCTGGGAAAGAGTGTGGGCCTGCCAAGGTCTCAGAGCAAGCCAAGGGCTCCAGGGAGGGCCAAGTGGAATCTAGTATGGAGGCCCAGATAGTTTCCGAAGAGAGTGCCCCAGCAAGGGCCCCGCAGGAGAAAAATGCAAAAGAGGTCACGGAGGTGTCTCCAGAAATACAAACCCCTTCCTCTGCCAGGGAAGGTGTGTCTGTCTTAGGAATTGCATGTGTTTCATTGCAAATGATCTCTCCAGCAGCTTACCAACCTCATGCCTTTCCAGTGCTATCGCATCACTGAGTCTTATGGTCCCAAGAGCACTTGATTTAGGTTTCCTGAGCAGAGAGTGTGCTTGCGCAGGTGCTGTGTGGCAGCTTGGATTTCCACGGCTGCAGCTGGGTTCTGATTTTACTTTGCCATGATACAATATGCTTCGCAGCCAGGCTGATGATGCTATGTGAGCTTTTTGTACCGCCCACCCCACCCCCCATCTCAAATGTTTGCCAGTCACATTGCTAATACATGTATATTTTTATTTTTATTTTTGGTGACAGCAATTCATATGCTTTTATTTCAAATTGTGGAGTTGGATTTTGGCACATGGAGGCTTAAATGGTAGAACCTTTTTTCTTTGCAACCGCAATACGCTGTATTTGTTACGCTTCAGTGAAGACTACTTTGGTTTCCTTAAAAGCTCCTGCTAATGCTTCTCATATCATTTCCTTCCCGTGGCAGCCAGCCCTTTTGATCATCCTCATATCTCTTGAGTTTTCATTCATCTAACCTTTATTAGAAGTTCATAAAGTATTTCTTTTCTATAGTTCCAACAGCACACACAAGTATATAAGGGAATGATGATCCATACACTTGCTGCTCTTCGAGAGATGACTGAATTTTATTATTTTTCCCAAATCTTTTCCAGATAATTACATTTAGCCCTAGTGAGCACAGTGAAATACCTTTGACCATTAAACATGAGTAAGACTCTGAGGTTTTTTTGACTGGCGAACAAGCAAAAATCAAAAAAGAGTCATTTAATTTCTGTGACATATGTCTAAAGTCAATACTGGTGAATGCTTCGCCAGTTGGTTGTGTTTCAGGAAATGAGGTCATGACCAAGGAGAGAAAGATACTGTATAGTTGACTCTCTTTAAAATTTGATAACATCACTTCCTAGTACTAACATTATAATTCAGTTTTTCCTACATTTATCACACAAAGTAATGATTAGGAATTAAGAATTTGGAATACATGGTAGAAATTGACTTGTCAATTCTTAGGCCATATCATATAAATCCAGTAGCAAATATTTATTTATATTCCTGAGGTTTAATCTCAGTGACTTCTAAAAAATTAGTTCAGTAATTTTTCAATGCCCCCCAAATTGGCCCTGGTATTTGTTGATCAAGATAATTGAAACTGTTAACTCTTCTTATAAATTAATTGGCCTTTGGCTCATGGCCTACCAATTCAGTTTTAAATAAGAAAACAAATGAAAATGTTCAGTAGAAATCAATCCTTTTCCATATTTAGTCTTAACATGTACATATATATATTATTTTGTACCCTGATATTAAACATTCAATATCCTTAATTCATATTTGTTATCTGAGGAAGGCATATGAATTTTTCTACTACAATATGTATCACATACTGTTTAGAAGAGACTAAACAAACAAACAAAAGAAAAAGGATATTCAAAATATACTCTTACTACAATTTCTGTAGGCATTAATTCGCAATGGGAGCTTGTTTTAGCAACAGTACACATATATCTCAACCCTGACATTTTCATATTGATTTTAAAATGGGTAGCATGCTTGCATGTTCCACATTTTTTTCTTTTTACCCTGCCATTCATTTGTCATTTCAAAACATAATTTTAAGCTTACTGCCTGAAAGCACTTGCCTGTTACTTTTTTTTAAATCAACCCAATTACTTCAGGTTTACTTACAGCCTCGAAGATGGAGTTCCATGATCAACAGGAACTGACTCCCTCTTTAGCTGAGCCATTCGACAAGAAAGAAAAGGAGTCAGAGAAGCAGAGTCAGCCTGGTGAAGACCTTAAACATGCCTCCTTAGTTTCTCCACCTGAGACAACTGAAACGTCCCCTGATAACAAGGACAGACAAGGCACAGAAGAAGGAAGAGCCCCTCTCGCCCTGTTTGGGCACACTCCCGGTGCCGGCCTGGACGACGCGCAGCAGAAGGCAGAGCTGGGCCCGGCCGTGCCCGGTATCGGCCTCCTCGCAGAAACCCCAGCTCCAAAGGAGCAGAAGGACTGGTTCATCGAAATGCCACTGGAAACAAAAAAGGATGAGTGGGGCTTAGCTGCTCCGATATCTCCTGGCCCCCTGACACCCATGAAGAAAAAAGATGTGTTTGAGGATATCCCAAAATGGGAAGGGAAACAGTTTGATTCTCCCATGCCGAGTCCTTTCCAGGGCGGAAGCTTCACTCTCCCTGTAGATGTCATGAGGAACGACATAGTTGCGGAAGCATCACCTCTTGCCCCCGCCCTGTTACAGCCAGATGACAAAAAGTCCGTGGAGGAAACCAGCAGCCCAGTGACTGCCAAAGACCTTTCTAAAGTTGAAGAGCCCCATAAGGATAAACCTTGCAAAATGGCAGAGGATGCCCACTTTGCTGTTGTGGAAGAATGTGTCCCTGAGAAAGTTTTAGGAGAGGAAAAGGGGGCAATAGAGCAAGAAAGTGTGCAGAAAGGAGAGGTGTCCGCCTTTGGTGGGCAGGAACCTTCAGTTACTGAAAAGGAGCCTCAGCTAAAGCTTGAAGAAATAATAAGCATTCCCGACAAAGAAACCCTGCTGAAAGAGAGCGAACCCCCCAAGCTGGCAGATAAAGAAACAGGCGTGACTCAGCCCTCCCCAGAGTACACGCTCTCAGAAGAAGAACGGAGAGGCCAACAGCTGTCCACAGATGCATTCCAACAGGATTTGTTCCCTGAATGTTTGGAGCGAGACAGTGCACATTCAGCTGTGACTTCTAAAACACTGGAGGAAGCCGTGCACAAACCAGCTGTGCTGAGTGAGAAGGATGCTATTGAAGACCTGTTTGAAGAAAAATGTGCTGACAATAAGGCAGAAGGAGTTGGGGCCGCAACCTTAGCTGAGCTGGATGTGCCGTTTTATGAAGATAAGTCAGGAATGTCCAAGTACTTTGAAACGTCCGCCTTGAAAGAAGAAGTGACAAAAAGCGTCCAGCCTGGCAGTGATTACTATGAACTGAGTGACACGAGAGAGAGTGCCCAGGAGTCTTTTGATACCATATCTCCCATGTATAAAAATGGTGACAAGGGACTTCAGGCAGGTAGAGAATCACAGCCCGGTGCTCCAGCACAAGAAGCAGGGTATAGCTCTCTTGCAAAGAGTTACCCACCTGATTTGCCGGAGGAACCCAGTTCTCCTCAAGAAAGAATGTTCACTATTGATCCAAAAGTGTATGGGGAGAAAAGGGACCTCCACAGTAAGAATAAGGATGATCTGACACTAAGCAGGAGTTTAGGACTTGGTGGTCGGTCTGCAATAGAACAGAGGAGCATGTCAATCAATTTACCCATGTCTTGCCTGGATTCCATAGCTCTTGGATTTAACTTTGGTCGGGGGCACGATCTTTCTCCTCTGGCTTCTGACATTCTAACCAACACTAGTGGAAGTATGGATGAAGGGGATGATTACCTTCCAGCCACTACCCCTGCACTGGAGAAAGCCCCTTGCTTCCCAATAGAAAGCAAAGAGGAGGAAGAACAGGCAGAAGGAGAAAAAGCTACCAGAGAGGGAAACACTCAAGCCGAGACATTGTGTGAATCGCCATTCCTAGCCAAAGATTATTACAAAAATGGTACTGTCATGGCCCCTGACCTGCCTGAGATGCTAGATCTGGCAGGCACAAGATCAAGACTAGCTTCCGTGAGTGCAGATGCTGAGGTTGCCAGGAGGAAATCTGTCCCATCAGAGACTGTCACTGAAGGAAGTAGTACTGCCTTACCCCCTGTCACTGATGAAAACCACGTCTTTGTTAAAACGGACAGTCAGCTCGAAGACCTGGGCTATTGCGTGTTCAATAAATACACGGTCCCACTCCCATCACCCGTTCAAGACAGTGAGAATCTCTCAGGAGAGAGTGGTTCCTTTTATGAAGGCAGTGATGATAAACTACGAAGAGATTTGGCCACAGATCTTTCATTGATTGAAGTAAAATTGGCAGCTGCTGGAAGAGTCAAAGATGAGTTCAGTGCCGAAAAGGAAGCATCCCCGCAATCAGCGCTGGGTAGGGACTTTGATCAGGAGAGGAAAGCTAGTGACAAACTGGATACTGTACCAGAAAAGAGTGAAGAACATACTGATTCAAAAGAACATGCAAAGGAAACAGAAGCGGCTGGTCTTAAGGTTGAAACGTTTGGATTAGGAGTAACCTACGAGCATGCTTTGACCGAAGAACTGACCGTATCAAAAGATGCATCATCTGTCATGGCCGAGAAAGCAGAGAAAGGTCTCAGTTCAGTGCCAGAGGTAGCTGAAGTAGAGCAATCCAAAAAAGCTGAATCAGAACTGGATTCTGCAGCAAAGAAAGCTGACCAGGTTCAATTAGATATTAAAGTCAGTGAGTTTGGACAGATGGCCTCAGGGCTAAACATAGATGCTGGAAAGGCAACAGAGCTTAAATTTGAGGCTACACCCTCAGCGCCTCAGGAGGCAGATGTGTTTCTGGGTATTGAGCCGGGCCACCTGAAAGAAGGCGCCAAAGCCGGTGAGACGGAAGTCAAGGAGAAGGTGGCCAAGCCTGACTTGGTGCACCAGGAGGCTGTAGACAAAGAAGAGTCCTACGAGTCCAGCGGTGAGCATGAGAGCCTGACCATGGAGTCCTTGAAGCCAGATGAGGGCAAGAAGGAAACATCCCCAGAATCTTCTCTAATTCAGGACGAGATTGCCATCAAGTTGTCCGTGGAAATACCTTGTGCATCTGCTGTTTCAGACGCTGATTTAGCCCTGGAGGAGAGAGCAGATGACCAGCTGGCATTTATGCCGCCGCCCAAAGAGGAAAGCAAGGAGACCCCAGGCATATCCATCACGCCCTCTGAGGTCACAGAGCCCTCGCCTGAAGCCATCGGGGCTGAACCGGCAGAAGCTCAGAGTGAGGAAGAAGAGATAGAAGCCCGGGGAGAATACGATAAACTGCTTTTTCGCTCAGACACCCTTCAGATTAGTGACCTGGGCATCCCGGGTGCCAGGGAGGAATTTGTGGAGACCTGCCCCAGTGAACACAAAGGGGTGATTGAGTCTGTTGTGACCATTGAGGATGACTTCATCACTGTGGTGCAAACCACGACCGACGAAGGGGAGTCGGGCTCCCACAGCGTGCGTTTTGCAGCCCTGGAGCAGCCTGAGGTGGAGAGGAGACCGTCCCCTCATGCTGAAGAAGAGCTCGAACTAGAAGAGGCAGCGGAAGCCCAGGCAGAACCCAAGGACGGCTCCCCAGAAGCTCCGGCTTCCCCCGAGAGAGAAGAGGTCGCGCTCTCAGAATATAAGACAGAAACCTACGATGATTACAAAGACGAGACCACCATCGACGACTCCATCATGGATGCTGACAGTCTCTGGGTGGACACTCAAGGTGTGCATTATTTTTTTAAATTTTCTGCTCCCGAATAAAATCCAGTAACCTAGCAGAATTTTTTTGTTGTTGTTGTTCATTTTAAACATTTTTTAAATAACCCCCTCTTGTCTCTTTATTTTGCATTTTGTTAAACGGGTGCAGGACTCTGTGCATTTGTCACTAATGTTTTTTGTGTTGTTCTTGTCATGGTTTGCTTTGATCCGCAGATGATGATCGGAGCATCATGACAGAGCAGTTAGAAACTATTCCTAAAGAGGAGAAAGCTGACAAGGAAGCTCGGAGATCATCTCTCGAGAAACATAGAAAAGAAAAGCCTTTTAAAACCGGGAGAGGCAGAATTTCCACTCCTGAAAGAAAAATAGCTAAAAAGGAACCTAGCACAGTCTCCAGAGATGAAGTGAGAAGGAAAAAAGGTTCATTTCACAATCACTTCTTTCAAAATGTCTTTGAAGTAACTCATTATTACTCTTTGTATGGAAGAAACTGCCTAACAGTGGTAACTATTGATGAAATTGTGTTCGGTTGTGCTCCAAGTGTTTCTTTTTTTCCTGATGGTGTGCTTTTTTTGTGTTTTCTTATCCATAGCAGTTTATAAGAAGGCTGAACTTGCTAAAAAAACAGAAGTTCAGGCCCACTCTCCCTCCAGGAAATTCATTTTAAAACCTGCTATCAAATACACTAGACCAACTCATCTCTCCTGCGTTAAGCGGAAAACGACAGGTGACTTGTTCAGTTCTGCAATGTGGCTGGCAAACATGGACATGTTTCTGTTCGTTTGTTTTTTTTTAATCTCATTCCCGTAGCAGCTTCTCCATTTTGTTTTTCTTCCAAGAATCGTAGTAGTCATGAACAATTTTGCTATTAAGTGTCTTGTACCATTACTCTTTTTTTTTCTCCCTCCTTGCAGAAGAGGTCATGACCATCTGTTTCTTTGTCATGCTCAGACTTAACAGTGATTGTATCTTGGCATTGTGCTCTAGTGTCACATTCTGGGGACTCCTATTTTCACTCTGTGTGTGGGGTTAGGCGATGGCGATGACTATGACCGTGGTACGCATTCTCATTATTTTGCTTATTTATCTCCCTCATGCTTAAGCCCATCCGTATTTGTGCTCTTTTCTACACTGTTACTGCCAAATCTGTTACTGCTGTTGATGAGCTTACTGAAAACCACCAAAAATGCGGAGTGATTTCAAGATTGAAAATGAAAAGCCAATCTGGGGTAAAGTTAGTGGTCGCAGGATTACTTTGCTTTGGATGAAAGAGGAAGAAAAGGGGAAATGAAGTGATCTGGTAATCTCATCAGATTTTATTTCTTAGACCCAAAATTCTAAAGGCTTGCTGTGTGATATCTCTCAGCTGTCATTTTGTCACTGGAATTTTCTTACATGTGTTGGATCCAAACTGCTCAATTTTCCTATATAACTCAGTGTTCAAAATTCAAAGATGAAAGACTTTCCTCCATTGAATTTCTTAGAACTTAGATATATTCCTATTTTACTTCTTATTATTGTTTTATCTTCTTCAAATATACTTATTGTTGAAAAAGTGTATTAAATGAATAGAAAAACATGTAAGTCATAAAAAAACCCTACAAATACCTACAACGCAAAATCTGTTCTTAAATTTTAGTGCTACGTATTTATTTAAATGTATAATTATAGTGGGGTATTCTTAATTTACAATATATTTTCACATTTGTTAAGTGGCATACTTGTGGTCTACAAAATAAGACATCAGATTGCTAAATCAGAAAAGAATATTTTTCTACCCATTACACATTAGGAGTGCCTTTTTATAAACATTCAGATGGTTTTAAATGTTGAGAGCAGCATTAACCTTTGTAAGAAAAAGAAAATCAAGGTAATTGATGGTTTTATGGTAGCCACTAATAATCTCAAGTATTTTGTATTTATGTTCTTTATATCGTAATCCTGTCACACGCTGTTCTTCAACAACTAGTCTCTGGGGTGGTATTTGAAAGTGGAAGGCTTACGATTATGCTCAAACCCTGATGATGACGAGTCGGGATGAGGAATTCCTCTACTTAATAGTTAGCGATTAACATGCATTCTCTAAATCTTAGATCACATCTTATTTTGCTCCATTTCATTAAACGTGGAATTTTTTTCTGGTTAGACAGATGCTTGGAAAGACAGAAACCCTTGGTTTGGGCATAAAAACTCTACACCCTATCTGACAGGATGAGAGACTGTAGCAGGACTGTGGAATCTCAGAGGAAGTGTCCACTGGTTTGGTGAAGTACCTACATGTCATTCGTGTTCACTTTCCCACACTGAGAGGAAATCACCTTTTGAATTCAATCATTAAAGGAACGTTAAGATCTTGGGCCTAATGAGTATCTTTCCTTATGCTATTCAAAGGTTAAGATACTCAGGCAGACAGCATACACCAAACAGGGCGCCACTGACTTGAAGCAAACTCTATGTCACAGAAATTTGAGACATATTATAGAATAGTAAGGAGGCATCATTTGCACTTCTTTCTTCAAAAAAAAAAAAATCAGTTCCAGAATCTGTGAATAATCTTACTAGCCAATCCTAAATAGCATGTAGCATATTGTAGACAGTATTATTTTTGTGTGAGAGCTGCAGATGGCACAAGAACCCTTTTTTGAAACTCACTCAAAGTGCTTATAAGGATAAGTAGATTTCCCCCTGAGGTTTTCTCTTTCACGAAATAATTACAGAGGAAGTGAACACACAAGCTTGTGTCTGTCATTGTCTCAGCACGACTTTTAAATGTGGGTAGTTTTCCAAAGCACCAAGGGTTGTTTTCAATCATGAGCGATATTTAAGTCAAGTCAGGTAAGTCATCGACAGGAAAAAAAACGCTTGAGATAATGGTGTTTAAAATTGAAACCAGAAGCATAAAAGAGTAGCAAGAGAAACAACAGTAACAGATGTGGTAATAATTTCATAGATAAGTTCATGTGTAGAACATGTTGTATATTACTGAATTTGAAGTTCCTCTCATGTTTTCTCTCTTTGACAAGCTATTTTTTTCTCCCCTTCTCTTCTCATGTGATATGTTTCACATCAAACGAGTGTGTCATTCATATTTGTGAAATGAAAGGGTGCAGAAAGAAAAGGGGTTGGCTGACCAACGCACTTTGGAATATAATAAAATGTGGAAGTATTTTTAGGCATGCCAGTGGGGACAGCAGGAGGGTTTGGGAATCTTCATGAAGTCTTTTATATCATAACGGCCCTAGAAGCCAATCAGTCCATATTTCCTTAAATTCCACAGCATTCAGGTTGCTATTCGGTGACTTCTGTTCTTAAGGATCTATCCTCCTGTAATAGTAATTTATAGGTACATTGGTAAGCAATCAAAAATTATTTGGTGTGCTTACCTGTGCTTTGGTAAACCCTGGGCTGTATTAATCAGCACACCCTACAGTGGGAGCCACATGCTATAATGTTGTTGTTATTCAGGTTTCTTTAGGTTACTGAATTTGAGTCTCAAAATAAGCAAAATTCTGTATTGCACTAGTCTGTTGACACAACTGAGTATCCAGAGGGTGTTGAAAAATGCATGTATGTGGTTTTTAGCCACTAAGTTTTGGGTTGTTTGTGTCTTCTCTTTTTCACAGCAGCAGGTGGTGAGTCATATCAGGTTCCCAGTGTATTTAAACCGGCAAAGGACAAAGTCTCCGTGAGTAAAATAACTTTTTCCATGTTCTTCACTTGAAGTTCCCTTTGCTATTAGTGGCAACGTTTTAATAACTTTAGATATAATTTAGACTTTGGCTGTTTACTCTTAAATGTCGTTTTAAGTCAATCACTCACCCAGAATGATTCTCAGTGGCGTTTGGGCATATCTTAAGGCCTTCTGGCGTGACATACAATGGCAGTTGGTGAGGGCAGAGCTTTAGGCCACTGTTTATTAGTGAGACCAAACATATGACAGAACATGAGGATCTGGTGAAAAGAGGGGAGCCCACTTATCTACTTTCCTAGATTCAAGATAAACCATTGTAACCAACACAAAACCAAATGTTATAAAACATATTTATTGTTTCTACAAAATAAGAATATAGGCAAATTAAGCATGTAGATGAGTAAAAGTAAGTGAAACTGTATTATAGTCCCCTTATCTAAAGATAACTACAGTTACATTTTAATGTACAATCTTCATTTTTTCTATACCTTCATAGGTTTAATAACAAAAACATAGTGTATCAGTTCTGCAATGAATTAGTAAACAGAATTCCATGTCATTAAACATTCTTATACGTTATTTTAGTGACTAGGTAACATTGCATTTTATTTATTCATATTATAGACTTGATCAATTCCCTATTATTTGCCATTCAAACTATTTTTTTATTTTAACAATGTTACTATGTAGAAATCTTTTTGGCTAAATCCTGTGAATGCATCGATATGCATTTCCTTAGTATAATTTCCTTCCAGTGAATTATTATTTCAGGATGGTCTATATAGAGAGTTTTTGCTACACATTGTCAGATTGTCCTCCAACAAGATTCTACTGACTTTTATTTGAAAAACACTACGATTTTAAGTTTTTTATCTCTCTACCTTCTGTTTCTGATGAGGATCTGCTGAGTTGTGGTATTTAAGAGCAGGGCTATAAAACAGACCAGGTCCAATATTCTTTTCTTCCTGTGTCTTAATTTTCCAAAAATAATGGGAGGAGTAAAAATTCTCATGTCATAAGTTAGCTGTGAACATTAAATATAATAATTTCATAAAATGGTATACTGTATAGTGCCTAGAACATAAGTTTAACAGTGATAGTTATTACTGTTATTATTATTATTATTATTTAAAAGGCAGAACTCTTTAGAAACAGATATAGAAAGTAAATTTGAGCTTTCCCCCAGTAAGGAAAGAATTTTTAAGTGTACATTGTTTGAAAAACCTTGAAGAAGTTTTCCTGAAGTCCCTTGGTCTATGAGTAATTTGACAGGATTTGGCATTCAACGCTTACATTTAAGGCAGAAAACACATGCATCCTCTGACACAAAATTAACTTTTTTTCCTTCTAAGTACCCATCTTGTCTTTCTGAAGATGAGACCACCATTCTTTCTGTTTCTCATTTAACATCCCCCTTTGTTCCTTACTTTAACTTTTTTTCTGTTTTCTAAAACTCTGAGGTGAACTTTTCTTTCCCCTGACGTTCAGCACTTCTATCAGAACAGTGATCTCCAATGTTTCCATTGCTCTTCATTTTGAACCTGATCTGTAATTCTTCATTTCATTTGGAATTTTTGTTTGTTGGATTTTGTTTTTGTTTTTAGCATCAGATTAGTATTTGTCTTTTATAATTTGTGGCGATCCAGTTACTCCATTTTTCTTTTCTACATTCACACTGTTGAAATTCATTATTTTGTGGGTAGCGTCAATCAAAAAGAATGACTTCCGCTGACCCTGCTGTCACTCCCCCCGCAAGGGGTGGGGTCTGTTCAGCAGGAAGTGATGTGTGCAACAGGTGAATGGCTCTGCCTCTATGAACGTGGCTACAGAAGTTAAAACTTGACATAAGAAACATCTCAGTTTCAACTGGTATTTTAAATAAGTAAATCATATTAATTATTTGAAGATAACATATCCTTGGCTTTGTCACACTCGTCTGCATTTTTAATAGTGTTTCCCAGGAGGCCTAACGTGCCAGCACAGCTTTCTCCCAAAGCCAAGCGCATCCATTCCACTGACTACACTTGCTGACTATCTCCCCAAGGATCATCTGATGATCATGTGTAAATTTAGTCTTGTGGGTTTTATGGGCAATCTCTTCAGTGCTGACATTTATTTTTAGAATTTTAACATATTATACAACTGTAGTCTATGCATAGAATTATGAATTTTATGGTATAGCTTGGCCCCCCTGTATGCATTTTACTTATAAAATAAACTTACTATATATAAACTCTGCAGTGTTCTGAGGAAATCAAAGTAGATAATCTAAAAATATATTTTCTCAATTTAAAAATAATTCCATTATTAGGTTTTAAATACATCTGGCTCTAAAGTTCTTGAAATGTGACCAAGATACCAGTTATATATACCTCTTAAGGGCTGTGTTTATTAAAGGAACAATTCCGACAGACTCACAAGATTGTACCATGTAAGGCCTATGGATTAATCAGAGACTTTATACGTACAATCCATAAAGAATATTTTAATCTACATCCTCATGTATGAGTATTCTTAAAAAGAGGTATTCAATGACAATCTTTCATTCTCATATAAATATATATCTCTATCATTGATTGTAACCATTTGTCATGTGTGTTCTTATTAAAAATATACATTTAATTTCTTATATGTTTATACATTTTTTACAATTTTCCTTTTACTTCATAGTTTGGTTTATTTTGTGCTTTTGTTTGTTTTCTTTCATGGCTAGAATTCTACCTTGTCAAAGATTCCTGCCTTGCAGGGTAATACAAAATCCCCAAGATGCAGCTCAGCCTGCCCTAGTCCAACTAAAAGGACTACATTTTCTGACAGTTTTTTCATGCAGCCCACCTCAGCGGGCTCCACAGACCGTTTGCCATACTCAGAATCAGGGAACAAGGTAAGGCAGCCAGCCAATCCAAGATGCAGAAAGGAATATAATTTGGGAAAAGGTTATAGAACATGATTTGGTTAATGTATGAAAGCAAAGACTTTAAAGTCTAAAGTGGTTGACATATAAACAATAGACCTTTATGAAAAACAAATACAAATCGAAAACTTCAATAGCTATGAACAGCCTAACCATTAAAACAATAGAAAATGTCTTTTTCTAGGTATACCATCCTTTATTGATGTATTATTTGATATCTAATAAAAATTCAAATATGAAGTATTTTAAATACAATATAGAATGTAGCATACTATACATAACATTATATAATCTAATAAGAAAGTATGTCTAATACAATAGAAAGTTTGAACTTGGCATCAGAAACATCAGGATTTAATACTAACCTCTGCCACCTACCAACTTGGTGATCTTAAAAAAATTGTATACACTCATTAAACCTGTCTCATTGGCTATAAAACTCTCATGACTTTTTGTGGTGAGAATTAAATCACAAGTAGATATAAATGCTAAGAGTTCCTGTCACATTAAGTGCACAATGTATTGCAATGGTCATTGTTAAGAATATTAGGCATGCAATGCCCTACTGCCATTCCTTTCTGATTAATAAATTAATCATGCTAATGAAGATTTTTCAGTAAAATCACCCATTTACTGGAAATCACCTGAGTAAATTCATTTTGCCTATGTTATGCAGAATTGGAATTTCACAATCAATTATTAACACCAAGTCCAAAGTAATACATTTTTATAAAGCCTCTAGGCAAATATGAATTCTAAATTTGAAGTAGAAACGCTTATAAGCATGTGAAATTCAGTAGTGTGCGTTAAAAGAAACTCATCCATTAGCACGGAAGGGAAACTAGCCAGAGCAATGTAATCACCTCGTACAACGAAAATAAAGATTCACAAGCACCCCACATCCTTTTGCTTTCCCCCGCATTCAGGATGGAGTAACCAAGAGCCCGGAGAAGCGCTCCTCTCTGCCGAGACCCTCCTCCATCCTCCCGCCTCGCAGAGCTGTGTCAGGGGACAGAGACGAGAACTCCTTCTCTCTCAACAGCTCCATCTCCTCTTCAGCACGGCGGACCACGAGTAGGTTATTTGCATTTGGCTTTCTTTTTAATCATCGTTTTTAAACCCCATAAGTGGGGTAGAGCTTATGCATTTATACTTTACATTTGTCAAAACATGCTTTAAAATCAGATTACATTTGTCCTAAGAATCAGAAAATCCAGACTGTTGATGGATCCAAAAGAGCTGTTTGGGTCAAAACAATTCATGGAGGAAATGAGCCCATACGGCTTTATTCCCCCTTAGATGGGACTGAAACAGAGTCGTTTTTCTCAGAATACATTTCTCTCTCCTTCCGAGTATACAGTAAAAGTAACTTTGAAAGAAGTAATTGAGAAAACCTGCCGTCAGGAATTGTAAAACTACATATGTATATAAAAACCCTTATTAGAATTCTAAGTCCTAAAGTCTAACTGGAAAGTCAGCAATCAAAACCCAGCTCAGCTGGATGTCGTAGGTGAAGGGATGTCTTAGGAAGGCAAAGCGAAGGGTTGCTGGTTTGATTCCAGGTCAGGGCACATGCCTGGCTTGCAGCCTGGGCCCCTGTTGAGAATGACATTTCTCAGTCACATTGATGTTTCTCTCCCTCTTTCTTCCTCCTTTCCCCTCTCTCTAAAAATAAGTGAAAAATCTTAAAAAAACAAATAAACACACACACACACCTAGGATCCTGCTTAATGTGATAGAATTGGCCTTCCAAACAGGCTATAATGGGGCGTGTCCGATGTAATAGCTTCACTTTCTTTTGACTGATGGCCCATCGTGAACTGATTGGCAGTTATCCCAGTGTATGTGAAGAATATCAAAATGTTCTAATCACTCATTGCCTACTTAGATGTTGTGTTGCTACAAAGACTCTAGCAAAGCATGGGTTCAGATTATTTTCATACATAAATTTCTATTAGACCAAAACTACCTACCACACAGAGATGCTAAAATCTTAAACACATTTTTCATTCAGTTTAATAAGCATTGCTGATAGTTAAATGTTAATAACCTAATTTGATCTACTAATGAGAAAAACGACCTTTTAGAAAGGGTAGCTTGTCCAATTCTATACAGCTAGTAAGTGGTTGATCGGTTGTCAGAACACTGATGTCTTTACAACCTGTCCTCTGGATGTCTTCTCTGTTTTTTTGGAAGAAACCGTTCTAAAGAACTGCTCTGGAAAACAGCATCTCTGTCATGGAAAATTTATTACAAAATGGTAGAAATTGGCCACTACTATCTCATTATAGTTGATTTCACTACTTTATTTTTAAATATTTAATAATTGGCCCACTTGAAATGGGACTGTTTTGCATGACATTTAAACAGTGTTTTTGTCTACAATGAAAGAGTTTGTTATAATTAGAGCCGTTGTGATCTACAATTTCATGAAGTATTGACATTCTTTGAAATTGTTCTAGAAACACTTTGAAATCACTAATACTCTTTTTCATGTTAGCAAAAATATTCAAATGAACTTGCAAGGATTGCATTTAAGAGTTAGTTAATCTCCAGAGAAAAGACTTTAACTCCAAATGTCTGGAGTTGGAATTGGGCATGACCCCAGCGTGCCAACACAAGACAAAGGCACCCAGTGCCCCCTGAGGCCCAGGGAGAATTATGCTTGTGTTTGTTGCTATGGGAACAAAATGATACTTCGTCCATGAATCCACACCTTCAAGCCACTGTGCTCTGCCTTTCAAAATGTATCTGAATATAAATTGCTTTTACATTCTAAGTCAATTCTATTTTGATTTTCTCACTTTACTTTCATTCATAACCTTGTTGTATCGTATTGTTTGATAACGAACATGACTGATACTCTGCTACAATGAGGACACAAGGTTTGTTTTATCTCTACATAGCAATAGCTGAAAGGCACAGGGACAGTTAGAAAAGCATGTAATCTGCCTCTCACCTTTTCCACTGCACGCGAGAACGTTCTGACAGTTGGTGCAGCTTTGAGGAGATTTAAAGGAGACGATGCTGTGCTGTTGGCTCCTGCAGCCCCGGAGGAGGGGGAGATGTTGTCAGCGAGGGTCTACTAGACACATAAGGGTGTCATTTAATAAAGTAACTCATAAATATTTTTTGTTTCAGTATCTTAGGTTTAACCCTTTCCTTTCAGAACACATAGGGAACCTTTGAATTTGTCATTTTGACAACTAGAACATAGTTTATTACAATAAAAATGGATTATATCTGTTGAATAGCAGTGTTAATGGCATACTCTCAGTGATTTTTCTCTGTTTTCCAAATATAACACAAAACCTTTATCGTTTAGCTTTCTAAAGCTTAAAGCCTTTTCTATAAGTATAGAAATGACCCTGACTTGACAGTGTTTTTATTTCTTTTACTCCAGAGTATTACTTCAGCTTAATACCTATGAAGTAAAAACACAAAACAAAACAAAAACCTCAGCACACTTTGATAAATTTTGAATCCAATTCATACCATTAAAAAAAGAAATTTTTGAATACCTACTGTGTTCAGATCCCATGAAAGGGACCAGTACTGGGAACAGTGACAAATAATACTGAGATGATCCCTGTCCCCCAAAGACCCGAGTTATTCCGAAGAGAGGAAGTCATAGACAAAACATCTGAGGCAGAAACAAGGTTTTGGAAGAGGTTTTTCAGAAGGATGAAGTGACTGACTCAAGTCTGCAACCAAAACTTGGGCCACAAACTTTGTAGCAAAGAAACCACAAAAAGGCAAGTTGGATGTGGATGTATCATCCTGGCCTCAAAATGTCATTTGGTGGAAAGCAATAAAAGTCCCAGTGCACACACTAATTTATCACGTCAGTCCTCTCATATCTCATTTCATGTGGTGCGTCGGAGAGTTCGACCGTCTCTTACCCTTACGTTACATCAAACGGACACAGGGCGGCTTTCACTTGATCTGTGGAAACTGTTCACTGAGAGGGGCAGTGAAATTGTTCCCTCTTCCTCCAGGAGGTCAGACCTAGACCAGTGGGTAGATTTGCGTTGTCTGTAGGTCACAAAGGTCTAGGGAGCTCTGTGGGGCTCACTCCTTGGAAATATTTAGGCAAAGATTACTTGTCCCCCTTCTCAGAAGAATTTCCTGCAATGGTGATTAATTGTGTTTGTTTAAAATTAATGAGTCATATCTTTGTCTTCTATAGAATTTCTAGAATATTTGTTGGTTATTACAAAGTATACATGCTCAGTAGTAAAAAATGAAAATCATGCCCTTCTTATAAAATACAAAAATGTAAAAGAGTTTATGTAATACATGTTAACAATGTAGATGTGTTCTATGAATGGAATTGATGTATTACTCTAAGAGAAAAGATTTTTATGTTAAAAGAAAGTTAAACAAGTATTAAGAAGCTAAGTATCATAATCTGGCTTGGAATTTAGGATCATCTGGGTAAATGAGCCTCAACGTCCTCATTTAAAAATTAGGGGTAATAAGAGCTGCCTCTCACTATTATGAGTATTATTTTGATTATCCAGTATTTGGTATTTACAAAAGTGCTTTGAAATTTGTAAGGTATACTTTTATTCTATCATTATTCTTTCAAAAATTCAAATAGCATTCAAAAACACATTTAAAAAGATAATATGAGAAACATAGTATAGGAAAATGGGGGAAAGGACTTAAGTGATCCAATGAGGCCAAGGTCAAGTTGAGGAAAAAAAAAAAGCATCTCACCCTATTCTGAATAATTGACAGTGGGGGATTATTGGTATGACTTCAAACTACCAAGCTAGTAATGAAAATAGAGGAGACAGCACAATCAGGTACAAGTTTTACTGCAAGTATAATATTAAAACACCCTCATTTTCTAAGGCAAGAAATAGACATTTTTTTTTGGTATTAAGAACTAAGACAAATTTTCTCATAAAAATACATGATATTATAGATAATGTCTAACAGAACTGAATGGCTTTCAATAAACACATTTGCAACTCACAGTGCTCCTCAATATTAGCTGAGGGGGTGCCGCTGACACACAATGGAATAAGTGACTTTCTACACAGTCCACGATCACGTGATGCAGGTCACAGTGTCCCACTGTGTGTCCACCTGGATTTCAGAGCGAACTCACTACACAGAAGAATGAGTGGTCTGCATACCACTCAAGAAATCTCCGTACCCTGATGTGTATGCCTTAGTGATTACACGGGTTAAAAAAGTAGTTTTTGACACATTCGTACTAAGAATTAGGAAGAACAAATCAGGAAAACCCATATTTTACCCTTGCATTGACAGCAGTGCATGCTCCAAAGGAATGTACCAGGTTATGAGCCTTAAAAAAAGGAGGCACTCGCCATTTTGAGCATTATTATAATTCATAAATATTCTAAGCGCTCTAGAAACTAACTCTATTGTGATTGCTAACAATTATGGATAGAAGGATACTTTAGGAGAACTTTCCTATGCTTAATTCTCGGTTTTGTTTTCCACCTGTGAATGTAGGGTCAGAGCCAATTCGCAGAGCAGGAAAAAGTGGCACTTCGACACCCACTACCCCTGGGTCGACCGCCATCACTCCTGGCACCCCACCGAGCTACTCTTCCCGCACGCCAGGCACTCCTGGGACCCCGAGCTATCCCAGGACCCCTCACACCCCAGGAACCCCCAAGTCTGCCATCTTGGTGCCCGGTGAGAAGAAAGTCGCCATCATACGTACTCCTCCAAAATCTCCTGCTACTCCTAAGCAGCTTCGGCTTATTAACCAACCACTGCCAGACCTGAAGAATGTCAAATCCAAAATTGGATCAACAGACAACATCAAATACCAGCCTAAAGGGGGGCAGGTAAGAATCGTATGAATGCATATTTGCTCCCAGGTATAAAATCCCATATTATATTGTAAGCTAACAGTTGTTACAAAAAAAAGAGAGGTGGAGTCGCTGGGTATGATTTGTTGCCAAGAGTTGTGGACTTTATCCGAGAAAGCCAGCTTATACAATATAATGAGAATCACATGACATGCTTGTTTTTTCTGGTTATTATTGGATATAAATTGATTGGACCACATAGGAGAGTCTCTCCTTTGGTTTCTTAACAGATTGTTTCTAAATGTCACTCTATTGCCTTGTAGATTTTAACTTAAGAGATTAAAAGTGCATTTCTGATATAAATTTGAGCGTTCTATTTTAGATGTGACTATATTTTAGTGATTCCACTTTTATCTCCTTCCTTCCTCCCCAGGGATTTTCCATGACATCTCTTATCATTTGCTCATGTTCCCTCCCAAATCAGAGCATGCTCACCAAGGTTCTTCTCTGGCTGCTCTTGCCTAAACGTTGCAAAGAGCGGTATTCATGTTGATTATAAATAGTTCTTGTGGTTCTGGTGAATAAAATTGTTGTATTAAAACCCTAGTTGAGATTAATTGTACTGGACAGAGTTATTAGTAAAGCTCTACCTATTAGCTCGTAACTCCAGCTCCGGCACAAACATTCACATCTTGCCAACCAGGGATCTCTGAGTTTGGCCTGACCCGAATCTTGCTGGCACACTGTGTGTTTGGTCATGGCAATTAGCCTGGATGGAGATAATAAAAATATAAATTAATGTTTCTCTTGTGCTATTGACCTTCCCATTGGATAGTTTGACTTATCTTGTCATTGAAGAGATAAAACATCCATTCTTGAGAGAAAGAAGAAAGGAAGTAATAGTTTCTTTGTACAGGAGCAAACTTGTAATGCCCTTTCAATATGCCAAGGAACCTTTCCTTTTAGCCTCAGTATTCTTTCCTGCCGCTCTTTCTCTCATCTCTGACATTTCTGGTGTCCCTCCTTCGTGCGAAGACAGTGTGTTCTCAGGCAGGTCTAGAGGAAAGATTTCATGGAAATGGGAAGCTTGCTCTTTCCTTTTGCAACAGAATTCTTTGCTGAGATTCTGTTCAGTAGTGCCCAAGAAGTTAAGAACAATCAACCAAAATTAAGGAAGGAGTACTCAATGTGTCCTTTTCAAAACAACTATAACATTCTATAATATTATAGTCATAGAAGATGCTTTATCATATAAAGATATTATTTAAAAAATGAGTACAGGAAATTTTTTTTAAGAAAAAAAAATGCTACCAAAGTTAGGCCTACAAATTCCAAAAGAAACTCTTACTCTTCTTGCATCCATCAGAGTTTTGCACATCTAAGAGAAGGAAATATTTTGCACTTTTTGGAAATATTCAAATGTCATATTACTTTTATATTTACATATAAATAATTTTAAAGTAGAATGAAATCAAGTTGTACCAATTTAAAAATTTATCATTTTAGCTTTTGGTAAGACCCCTTAAAATAAAATAACATTATGTATATTTAAAATCAATTATCTTTATAAATATCACCATGTGCTACTACTATTCTCCTCAACTAAATGTGAGGTTTACTTCTTATATTCTGAAAATATTGATACTTAAAAGAATCTGTTTCTTCTTAAGGTAACAAGAAAATATAGATTATTTTCAAGATATTTTATCAAAACTAAAAATTTAATAGAAAGGGAATAATTATTCGTGTAGTTTGACATAGAAATTGTATACTGTATGATTTTATTCAAAGTATTCCTCAAGGTAGGGAGACAAAAAAGAATGGTGTTAGCCTTACCTTTGCTGGAATCACTAAAGTTAAACCAATCTGAAAAATATGAAAACATTTATTTTTGTCTTTCTTCTTCTTTATCATATCTGGTTATGAATATTGCTATGTCTAATTTTAATTGACCTCCAGTATACTTGGTAATTCATAAAATCAATATAAAGATGTCTTATCTTTTGAGCTGAACTAAAACTACCCTAGAGATTATGGTAATTAAGGACTAGTAAAGCTGTAGGACACGAAAAATACAGAAAAAACAAAAATAGTTTCAAAATCAGCGTCATTTGGAGAAAATCTCTACTTTCATAAGGGAAATGTTAACGTACTGCACAATTATCCTATCTCAGCTTCAGATAACTTGGAAAACATCTGTAACAGTGGAGTCATGAAGTAACTTTTGTTGAATGAGTAAGAGGTATATCCTCACCAAGACAAGACACAGATGGAAGAAACATGCTTAACTTCTATTCCATCATAGATAGTATCAGTGGATTTAAATGGGAGGAGGAAGTCAATTGGGAAATTGAGATGCATTTCAGTTGAAACTGACTTCGTAGGACGGTCCTTGTAGATGTGCAGATGAGAAATCTGCCCATTTCTCTCAGTATACTCTGCACCACTGTAGCACAGGCTGCGTTCTCTCTTGTTGATGTCACCGCAATAGTTGTTAACTGGTCTCCCTGCACCTCTGATACGCACTACATATTGTAGCCAGTCTTTCTCACCACGTGCATACTTAAGCATTCCATTGAGCAGTTATTTCATGTAAATCTTACCTTACCCACTAGACCATAAGCTCCATAAAATCAGGGATGAGGTCCATCTTCTTCTCCAGGTCCAGTACACAGTAGGTGTTCAATAAAAGTTTGTTGAAAGTTGAGTGAATGTAGTATACCATTTGTTTGGTGAGATACATTCTTTCTAGTGACTACTGAATAAATGTGAATGCCCGATGCCATTACAGTTGTTACCCAAAGAAACTTCCCATGTTTGAACCACAGGATGTAAGAGCTGAGTTCTTGGTTCCCCTTTTCTACTAAATTATTGTGTGACCTTAGATACTGACCTCTCTGGTTCTCTGATTTTTTAATTTGTAGAACAGAAGCAAAAAAATGATACTGTCTTTGTATATAGTGCTGCCTCATTTAAATAGACCATAAGGTGATTTTTAGATCTCAGATCTGTGGTTTGCCTTAGAGTAGGATAGTAATTAGCATTATAGCTAATCAAAAAATATCATTTAGTCATTTTAATAGACTCCACAGTAAGTATATGTCCCATAAATGGCAAGCCAAAGTTCAGAAAAACAGCACAACTTGTGGAATGGAAGAGGAGTGTGATTTTGGAAGATGGATACTCAGAGAGAGAAGAATAAGGAAATGAAATGGGTAAAACATAGAGTGCAATCTTTTAATATTATTATAAAATCTTCAGCATTCTCCTGACTGTTTAGGCCTTTAATATACTAATTTGAATGAGTCGCTTTCAACTTTATATTCATGGAAAAGATGAAATTAATTCTGGAGGCAACTAATAAATTATAGTATAACGGGCTTTTTTTCTCATATAAAATTATCATGGTCAACACCGTGATGATCTACTCATGTGCAGTTAAATTTATAAAATTATATGTTTTATAAACTAAAAGAGAAGGATTGAAGCTTATTTAGATTTTCACATTCATATGTGTATTTTTCATCACACATTTACTAAGACTCCACTGTGTACTGTCCATAAAAAGCATAATGAGACAATATGATCAGTCTGGGCAATACAGAGTGGTGTTCTTATTTTCTTGTCCCCCTTAGTATCTTGCTCTTACTTAATTTTCTTTCCAAGCCATTTATTTTCATCTCCTTAGGGCCACAAATAAGTGCTAAGTAAAAGGAATAATAAAATACCCCATGAGCTTTAAAATACTGTCAGTCAACCCAGCTTGAAAAAAATAGGTGTTTTCTGAAATAAATATATTGACAAAGGGTTTTTTAGCATCAAAGTCAACATTATCTCAATACGAAAGCCCACTGAAATCATGGACCCTGTCTTTATGCAGTAGAACGTGTATACTGTAATTCAAGTGACTTGTGTAGGGTAACAAAAAGTTTTGGAGGTAGGCTTCATAAATACTGATTATTCAAAACTATGAAACAATTACTGCATTGGGTTCACAAAATTGAAAACCATAGAGTCCTTTTTTGCTTGCTGTTCATTTACAAGCCAAGCAACAACATGCGGGCAGCCTTAAACCTCAGGTTATTTTCAAACAGCTCAACAAGTGCTTTAAAGTTACTTCCTTGAACAGCTTCATTCCCCATTCCATAACATTTCTTAAAAATTTAAACTAGAGGAAAAAATGTAACATTGAGAAGTTATAGCAAGTGAACTTATCTGTTAAATTTTTTTGAATTACGAGGACTATTGTGTCCATAACTTTCCTCACAACGTCCATTGAGAAACGGTTTAAAAAGTTGAACCAACGGGTCTAATGACTGAACTCAATGTTGATGCCACAAAAAAGTTTTTTCCAAATTTTTCAGTACTTACCCCAAAGTTTTTTATTGTGGTTCTACTTTCTGTGTCTTGTAAAACAGCCTGCATGGGAAAAGTTGGCCCCAACTGATCCTTCTCTAGAGTTCTAGGGAATTGTTTTTTTTTTTTTTGACATAAACTATTTTTTTCTATTTGTGTATTTGACCACATGTATTGTTTATATTTGATATACTTAGTTTTTAAAAAGTTGTCACTTAGTGTATGCAGGGTTAATTAAGATTCAGAATGTACCCTAAAATGTGTATATTTTTATGTATTTTTACGAGAGCACAGGGTTGTTAACAGATGAGTCTTTGAAAAATGTCATCTGTTCCAGGGAACTTGCTTCCTTCAGGAGTATCTGATGGAGTCATATTTTTCTTTTAACATGTGATACCCCAGGACTCTACAGAGGCTGGATAGTTTTTATTAAAATTTAGTGCTGTGGGGTGGGAAATACTTTTGAGAGAGACAAAAAAAAGTGTTGGTATAATGCAAGGACAAAGGAAGACTTCATGGTAATAAGCATTCCTGAGAAATGATGCAAGCCCAAAGGAAAAGCTTAATCCCCGGTAAAGCCGAGGGGAAGTCAGTTGAGTGTCATTGTTCACTACCCTTAAAAAATATTCTTTCAAAGACCGCCTTGGGTGGAAGAAGAAAGAAATGATGTTGCAGTTGAGGGCCGTACCTAGAGGAGGCCTGAAGACCCTAGTGCTGCATGTTGAGATTGCCGAGGACAGAACCCAAAGTTTCAGACCCCCAATTATACTCCATATCACACTGTCTTGAGATGACATGTGGGTCTTTTGTTAAAAAAAAAAAAAAAAAAGCAGCATCAGAGTGTTAAATTAAAAAAAAAAACAGCAAGATCCTATTGCTTAAGAAATTCAAGTTGACGTTGAGATTAATGTCCCTGGTCTACAATATAAATTGTTTTACTGAAAACTGTAAGTTAGGATTGTATTTTTTTTTCATTTTACCTGTTCTGTATTTAATCTTTAGTAAGAGATTAATTCTTGCTTACAGTAATATCCTGCATTTTTCCCTCCTGTCCTTTCTTAGAATAATCCCATGTGGGGGAAAAACTACTTCCTCTGAAGGCGCAGTTAAACCTGTATGCAAAGAGAGTACAGAGGCCAATCATTTCTGTTGAATCATCATGATAAAAACCCAACGAGAGTCTCCCCAGGACTATCCAGAAAGTAATTTCCATGTTCTTCCCTAGCATGGTGGTGTAATAGATAGAATTAGTAAAAAATAAGATACAATGATTCTGATTAATTATTCAATTACATTAACCTAATTTTTATAACTCTTCATGCTTATATGACTCTTTATGTGAATGAAAATTCAACTATGTACGCAAACAAGTCACCACTATTTGCCCATGATACTGAAATCCCTTTTTGCCAGCCTTCCACTGTGGTGGGAGGGATGGGCTAAGCCTTGAAGGATGGTCTGTTATAGACTTACCTAGCAAGAGATAGCAACATTACGAAGGCCCTTAAAGTATGAGCTGTAAGACAGCCTGGCCCAAAATGTAAAGTGTTAAGAGAGGACTCAAAAATCTGTGTTGAGGAGAACCCTGGCTGCCTAGCTAAGGAATGTTGATGCACTTAATAGGAAATAGGGGATTGGGGAGAATTTTGAATAAGGCAGAGCTTTAGGAAGCTTCGCAGGAACATTTCACTTCCAGTGAGTTATGCAGGAGAAAAGATTATCACTCTTTCCATCACCTTTTTTGCATTAATATTGCAAGTACAACTTTTGATGAAAGAAATGGACAAAGATTAAAATGTGTTCTAGAGTAATTTGGGCTAATGATTATTCAAATATTTTTTCTTCCATATCATGAATATGGAAAATTAATTTGCCAAATACAAGTTTGGTATATTTGTAGATAGTCTCTAAGATTTTAAAATATTTTTCTGTTGACACAGACTTTTAGGAAAACAAAAAGTTTAATGAAAAATTTCCAAAGAAAAGTAATTTTATTTAGATCCATCAATACAACAGAGATAGTTAAAATTCAACTTATTTAAAAAGAAAAAACTAATTTAGATAAAACTTTATCCTTCCCAGCAGCCATCTTTTTTTTCCTATTTTATGGTGTGGTTTGTGAGAACTGCTGGTATTTGTGGACTTAACTCTCTAAGTGTTAATTATTGTAAATGATCCTAGAGATCTTTGGGATGAAGTATTTTATAATTTTTCAAAGGCATAAATGCACATCACACAGACGAGGTGAGTGCTCGGGCGCTAGAGGGTAAATCACAACGATCATGAAGCATCCACTGCCCAATGGGGTTTTGTTTTGTCTATTCAACCGTCAGGCGAGATGGTGAATGTCACACTTGGCCTCACTTTAGAGTCTAAAGTTTAGACACAAGCAATATACTGTGACGTTATTGCAAGCATGGAGATATGTCGAGAGTGTGCCGTTAATGCACGTCAGAGGTCTGCTTTGCTTGCAGACTGAGCAGACCTCTCTCTCTCGGCTGAGAGAGTCCACCGCTGATGAGGCCAGCTGGTTGTCTCACTAGGAAGTCTATGACTCGAGAAAATCTGTGAAAAATGAACAGGAGTCAACCTGTAAGCTTTAGGATTGTAAATTTGAATTACCTCTAAATTATGCTAGCAATGTGTATGACCCCTTTGGGTTTCAGTGATTTGTTTTGGAAATCATAAAAATTGTCAAAAAGTTGATTAAATGTTAGAGTCAGATTCACGCAACTGAATTTGGAATTTCCATTTTTGCAACAAGTGAATCACATTTAACATTTGGTGGCTCATTTGTAATGAGCCACTTGATTGGTATCCTACTGATCCCTAATTTAAAATTCAAAAATGCAGTTAGAGACCCTGTATATCCCTGAGTATGAGGGAAAAAAACGGCTTAGATGAATTCTATTTCATTGCCAAAATAATTCGTTCTTCGTGGATAAAAATTGTAAGTATTACTATTAGAAATAATAAATCAAAACTATTTTCTTTTTAAAATTAATTTACGTGGTTTGAAATGTAAAGGCTTTTGTTGACTTAAAGGTATGTGCATCTCAGTTTATATGAAATTCCTGGAATGAGTCTACACTTACTGTTAGATAGAAACTGTGTGATACATTCCCCGCCCTTTTATAAAACTGGAATGGTTCTTATGCCCTAAAGAGGGGCCCAATCATCACGTCTTCTGAATTCAGATTTTGACAAGAGGCTCTTCCCTTGGGGTGTCAATGAGAGTTGTCAACGACGTTTCCCTATAAGGGACAGCGATCTTGTCAATGTTAGTTAGCCAGGCACTGCCGTTTTTTGTCTGGTTAAAAATAGTCAGGGTTCATGTCCTCTTGAATCAGTATCCTTTTCTAAAACACCAAGAGATGTGATACTATTCAGGGGCATGACTGAATATCTGGGACCATTTTATTTAATTTTTTTAAAATAAGAAGATAAATTGTCCCCCAAAGCATTGAAAACATGATTTCTCTTTCGCTATTGGGGGAGAGGAAGAAATTAGTCATTTTAGACAAAGTAAAACCAACCATCAAACAACAACAAATGTAAACCTTTCTTTCTAACTTTACTTATCTGCCCTTCAAGACATGCAGAATTCAAAAGACACGTGAAAGAAGTTACAAGAGTTATTACTTTGCACATTACATTACACCAGAGTAATATTTGTCCAGATCTGGATTTGCTATTGTCTTCCAGATGAATACTGGACTTTCCGAAAATAGAAATAAAACACCTAACCTCAAATCTGTCGGACCAACTGAGGTCTGGACTACATGACGAGCATGAGTCAGCTGACTGAAGTTCTTTGGTTTTCTCCCCTTTAAAAATGGAAAGAAGGCTTCCACACCCACATCTAAGGGTAATGGCTGTTGATGAGCAGCTGTCAGAGCGAGGCCTTCTGATAGGCCACTGAGCCACACCTACAGGGGAATCATATGCCCTTTCCACAGAGGAGGCCCAGAGACTCCTTGTTGACCCTCTTAGGAAACCAGGGGCTTCCTTCCCTGCAGAAATGAGGACCCTCACCTGTAGCATTCACTAGACCATGCTATATTTAAGTCAAGTGCACAAGATGATCCACAATGGTAATGACTGACACTGTCGGGGGTAAGGTGGGGCAGATAGGGCACTGGTGTATCCTTCAGGATCCTGGCCTGGACTACACTGAACTTTTGGGCCTTCCACAGAGCGAACGTGAGTCCCCGTGTTGCCCACAGTATTGGGAGCCTCCTCCTTACAGATGACCCAGGTTTTATTTTCCTATTCCTCTAATTGCTTCCAGATTACAGGCTGCCTAAGGCTCTGGAGCATTTGGCCCTTGGGAGTGCAGGACAAGAGAGGGTCGTTTTTATATGCTAGATCTGCTCTTCAATTCCAGTGTTAGTTTGTTCTCTTAAATGAGTGTGTAGGTGGAAGGGAGTGTGGAGCCTCTTCTGGTTCTCTGTACCCAGCATGTTGAAACAAAAATGCACAGTGAAGTTACCTCCAATTCCTTTTAGGTTAGGATTTTAAACAAGAAGATCGATTTTAGCAAGGTTCAGTCCAGATGTGGTTCCAAGGATAACATCAAACATTCTGCCGGGGGCGGAAATGTAAGTAGAAGCTTCCGGTGGAAAGCCGCCCTGGTTGTGCGGAGCCATCTGCACAGCCAGCACCCTGTCTCCTCTCCTGCCTCCTTCCCCACACACTGCCCCTTCTCATTGCTGCGCCACGTGTCCCCTTCACCTGGGAGCTTGTCAGCCTTGCGTCTTTGGTGATGGGTTTTCCACCCTTCCCTCTAAGGTCATCAGCGAACATCTTGCTTTCAGTTGAATAAGCAGACCTTAATGGGGTGCACCATGGTTTTCAGGGAGATGGAAAACCCACATCACTTGCCAATTGTGTTTGCTGGCCTGTGGCCACAAGGTATTTCCTCATGCTGTCTCTGTTCCCCTGCAAAAGTCACCTGGGCACACACTTTTCCAGCTCCACTTGAGTTACTTCTGAGGCAAAGACTGATCTAGTTGAAAACACCCAGTGCGTAATGTCAGTCTTTTGTGCTTCATTACTCATGAGAGTTAGATATTACTTGGAACAACACAAAACTGCTGAAGCATGGTTCATCTGTAATTCAAAGTGAGAGGATTCAAGTTCCCAGTGTATGTGGCTTAATGGCATTTTTCCTATCTCTTAAACTGAGTGGAAAGAATATCCTATGAGAGAAAGGGAAAGATGAATGCATGTCTCTCAGATGTAGTTGAGGCAGAGTTGAAACAGGTAAACTCAAGCCAGATCCTGTCACCTGAACTTCAGGCTCTGGTCATCTGGGACCCCAGTAATTGAAAGTACCAAGACCAAAATTCTCACCTGTCTAATAATTCTTGGCTCCTTGCTGCTCAACTGGGCATAGATGGAATGAATCAGTGAAAGGAGAGATGAGCAAGTGACTTCTACCAGGAATTGTCACTTGATGTTCAAAGTAGAACTACCAAGCATAAACATGTCACTGCCATGGGAAATCCATAGCAAGGTTTGCTGGGCTTCTCCAGGAGCACTGGGCTAAGCCTCAGCACCAGTGTTTCCATGGACACGGTGGCCTTCCTCCCTGTTGCCCTGACTGTGAGTGCTCACCACCTGGTACTCTGACAGAAAGCGGCAGTCCTAGCAAATAACTTGAGGGGATCAGAAGGCAGACCTAGCTACCGCCACTGCAGGTGCTGCTGGTCAAAACACCTAAGAGGAAAAGGGTAAATTGAGATAACTCACAAACTTGAAACAAGTAAGGGAGCTTCCAGCCCTCAAAACAAGAGTCTTCGACTTCCCTCTAGAGAAGAATCACTTATTCAAGTATGCAGATTCCCTGGCCCCAGTTCCCCAGTGTCCAATTCAGTAATTCCCATGTACTTCTGATGCAAATGGACAGTGACCCACACTTGGAGAAGCACTGTTTTAAACATTGAGAGAGGAGAGAATTTCAATGATACACAAAAATAAAATAAATGTTGCTATCAATGAATAGTTTGGTACACAAGAAAAATTCCATCTGACTAAGGCATGACAATAATGTTTTAGAAAAGCATGTTTACAGCTTTCTTCTTCTTAGAGCAATGTTGTTCTTCTTGCATCAATGAGCAGTGTTGGCCACCTTTGTGTAAAACTCACCTTGGAAAGAATGATTTATCTCTTCTTCACTTGGCTCTTTGCTTAGAGAAAGGTTTAACATGGTGTGGCTTCGTTCTTGCCTTATTAATCCAGGTCTTTCTATCTGCTTGTGGCATGATCTGTTTTCTAATAAAATCTTCTATTCTAGGCTTTTCTTTCACTTGGGTCCTTCTTTTCAACCAAACAAGTGGAAGGGCATGTGGGAGAGTATGTTTTCTTGTGTGTGTTTGTACTTCAGTTTGGGTTCCTGGATATATGGTAGTGTGTTGAGTGTGGATATGTTTCTAGATTTTATGTGTGTGCTTAGGGAGTTTGCGCATGTCTATACTATTTTAAGCATATTTTATGTGATTTGCACAGGTACAGATTGTTACTAAGAAGATAGACCTAAGTCACGTGACATCCAAATGTGGCTCTCTGAAGAACATCCGCCACAGGCCAGGTAAGTAAATACATCTTAGTCATGTGAGAAATATTAAATTGGATTCAAGAAATTGACAAGCAGAGTTTTTGTTGTTGCAGAGTACCTAATTAGAAGGACATTTCAAAATCCTGGTATTTCATGTTTTTATTGGGAGAAACCTAAGTTAGAAATTTGGGCTTCTTCATTTGGACAAGTTGCTAATGAAAGTGAAAGCAAATCTCTTAGGTGGAGATGGGTAAAGGAGTCTAATCCAGCTTTTTTTCCAGATCAAAGACATCGGCAGATGCTCATTTGTGCTCAGGGGCAGACTGAAGGACAACAAATACCTTTCCGGTGTAGACTCCTTGCATGCACAAGCTTGAGAGAGGCCGAAAGGCATGCGGAGATTGGGAGACCATGCTGACGGGTGGAATGTGGTGCTGTCTTCTATCAGCAGATCCTTGATTTTCAGACTAATTAGCAGTTGGGGGAATGTCATGGTCCAAACTCTGTCTTAATATTATTAGATCAAAGTCGATATCAGATAGGTCTTAGGACATCTGTACAAGAATGTGATCTCCTATTACTCCATCTACTAATTAAAATGGGATGTTCTTAAAGCTTATGAGTATTAAAAACTTAGCTCCTGACTCCTTTTTTACCTGTCAAACTACCAGTGTTGAAAATTTACAAATAGATCTATACCCATATATGCACACCCTTTCTAGCCTAGTGGTTCTTTATTCAAGTGACCTATAGTGCCATGAAGAGGAATAAAGAGCTTCATCTCAATGCAATTTGTTCCTTCTGGAAGAAGAGTCTAACTCTCCCAAGTTTTAGAAAGGATGCAGTAGCATACTTTTTAAAAATTGTTGCTCAAGTACAGTTGTCTCCATTTTTCTGCTGCCACTTTCTCCCACCCCACCCACCCCCACCTCCTCCTCCCACCATCAGTCCTGCCTGATGTTCAAGGAACACATGTTCCTTGACAACTGTGTTATTTTTAGAGTATTATATAGATAAAACACTTCTAATATTATAGGTTAGATTGAGTAGAAAAGTGTATTAATATGTAAGGCAATCCATATAATGGTACAAAAGGATGTAATTATCTTGTATAATATACGGAAAATGGTGCAGACTAGAAATTTTAAAAGATTTTTCCCCATCTATGGTCAGAGGTATAGCAGAGTTAATTAAGTTTGTGGTTTACAATGGTCTATCTACTGTAATAATTTTTGGGAAATAATCACCACAAATATAAGATTTAATTTTAGCAGATATTTAAAAGCCTTTCTCCTCTCATAGGTGGTGGGCGTGTGAAAATTGAGAGTGTAAAACTGGACTTCAAAGAAAAGGCCCAAGCTAAAGTTGGTTCGCTTGACAATGCTCACCACGTCCCTGGAGGTGGTAATGTCAAGGTAAGAAACAAGGTCATGAGCTGATCTTGTCTTTGTTTGTTTTTTTTCAATTGTTTTGTAATACCCCTCATCAATATGGGCCCCAGACTGAAGACCTGAATAATAATAGCAAGTAAGGATGGCAGAGTGCATGCAAGTGACATTCACATTAGCTCTGGGATAGAGAGAAACATCTAGGGGTCAGTGAAGATGTCTGAGTTAACAAGGACTGATGCTTGTCTTGAACAGATTGACAGCCAAAAGCTGAACTTCAGAGAGCATGCTAAGGCCCGTGTGGACCACGGGGCTGAGATCATCACGCAGTCCCCAGGCAGATCCAGCGTGGCTTCCCCCCGACGACTGAGCAACGTCTCCTCTTCCGGAAGCATCAACCTGCTCGAATCCCCTCAGCTTGCAACTCTGGCCGAGGACGTCACTGCTGCACTGGCTAAGCAGGGCTTGTGAATATTTCTCATTTAGCATTGAAGTAACAATATTTAGGCATGAGCTCTTGGCAGGAGTGGGCTCTGAGCAGGTGTTATGTTTATTCTTTACATACCATAAAATAAATAATGTCCTTCCCAAACTCTATTGTTACAATTTTATAAAAAAAAATGAATAGCATATGCAGAAATTGACTTGATTTCCATTTGCAACAGGAAGACACTGGCTTTACATACGTACAATTGGACGATTATTTTTGCTCTGCTCTGTTTTGCATGGAGTATTATCATTTGAAAAATTGCATTTTTACCTTTCATGTGCCTGAAGGCTATCCACTACATTCTGAAAGGCCTTGTTAAAATCCAAGCTGCTCATTTCACTATCCTGTCCGTGGGCGAAAAGGTCAAAGCTGCCCATTGTAACTTATTCCAGATTGAAGTCAACCAAGGAGTCTGATGGCAGGAAGGGAAGAGCATGTAAGAAATGAGTTGTTTTTTTTTAAGTGTTATTTTGTATAAATGGGAAGAAAGATTCAATTAAGTTATTAACATTTGGGACCTGGATGATTATATCAGAGTATAAGTCAATTCAGTAAATTATTTAACTAATTAAAAAATAGGAACGAAGCATTTGAGCTGCGGTTGAGGACGTGGTGTAAAACTGCTCTGGCGCTTTCCTTAGGACGGACTCGTGTCTGATTAGAATGTCAGTTGATCCGCTAGATTTGTGTCCACACTACCAGTTTCACACCCCCTTTCCATCTGTTTGATACAGTATTATAGATATAAATATATATATATATTTCTCTGTGGCCATTTGTGATACTTCCTCATATACTTGAATATTATACTTCCTTATTCACAGTATCTGTGTCTCCTGCACCCTTTGGTGTTGCAATTTTAGGTATGTGAAAGTAGATGTTAGCAGGGTTCTTTCCCTATTTAAAAAAAAATACATTAAAAAAGACAAAAAGTTTTAGCATGAAGTTGCCTTCTGTAACAACTCAAAGCTGTAACCCTGTTTTAGTGCCAGATACAAGTCTCTCCCATGATGCTAGAAAAATTTATTTTTCTTTGCTTTCACCAACATGGAGTTTGTGGGGGTGGGACCAGTTATACATAAAAGGGTTTACAGATTGTCAGTTTAAGATTATGGATTTAAATTATTTTGAATCATGGAATAGTTTGGGTTTTATTTCTGTAATCATCCATGAAAGACTTAACTAAGATTTCTTCTTTCTTTCTTTTTTTTTCATTTGCTAAAGTTGAAACTCACAATGGGAGTTTGGGACTGGTTGTCCCGTTCTTCCGAAAAAGTACCTGCTTACTACATTGTCCGAGAGAAGATATTTGGCTTCCTTCCCCAAAGTAAGATCCCTTGATCAGAAAGGAAAAATACAGTTCTTTGAGAAGCTATAGCTACAAAATATTTGAGAGACCGATATCAAGATCATTTTATATCAGTAGGTAATACTGTTTTGACTTTACATACAGTTAAGAAATCCCAAATCAATTAATTAAGTCCTCTCGCAAATCATTCATTTTAGACTCTTGAAGAAACAATGAAGTAGTCAATGGCATGAATGAGGCAATGCATTACCAGGCTAGGTGGACACTCTTGACTGTTTTATCTATTCCTTTTCTTGCTCAGGGCTGGTAAGGTTGGATTTGAACAGTTACAGGCAAATGATCTGGTAGGTATTAGATTCCTTTGAGCCAAATCAATTCCTGAATATAAAGGAAGAAATGACAAGCATGGACGAGGCAAAAAGGGAGTAACATCCAAGAAAGAATCCACAGGATGCAATGACAGAGACACGGTGACATTTTGTGATGCATTGAATATTGGAACCAATGTAACTTCCACAAAAGAAACTGTAGGAGCAAATATGCACCATTCATTCTCAACTAAGAGGTCTTACATGGGCAAACATGTCAGAAATCTTTTATAAATCGGTTACTTTACACAACAGTCAGAAGGAGAAAAACTGCTGAGTAGAGCTGCGGTTGTGTTTATGTTCTGCCTAATAATTGCTGTGAGGTTTGATTTGACCAATTTGGGTATTTTATCCATCAGCTTCCCTTGAAATGCACCAGAAAATAAGAGAAGAAAGAATAGTTCTATAGAGACTTATGGTATTTCTTACATGTTTGGTAGTGTTAGATAGTGATTGAGGTTCTAGAGAAAGAAGTTAACAGCTGATTAGAACAGTTTTAACAGGTGAAACACGTATTTTTTTCAACTTGGGTTAAGTTTTTTATAAGTTAAGAATAAGTAAACATACTCTGCATATTACAATTCAGTTTCTTAATAAAACATGCCCAAAATAAAGATATCAAGCATGGAATTATTAGATTTGGCATTAAAACAAATGTTTATTTCAAACCACAGCAAAATTATAATGAATAAATCTCTCTCTTTGTATGGAAATATGATTCTCTATAAAGTTAGGAGCAACAACAACCTGATAACTTGTACTGAGGAAAGAGAGAGACACACAGGATAAATGTCTTTTTATGGGAACAAGTGGTGGAGCCCATCTTGCCTTCGCTCTCAAGACTAACGACACAAATTAAGCTTTTTGAACACCACTCTTGTGGGGACATCCATACGCTGATCTAGAAATTAAAGCTTCATAGTTATAATTCTAGATCTATTAATGCCAGTTTCTCTCTGGCTTTAGCCTTTGAGAACCTGTTTAAGAATATATAAGTAATCCAGAGCTATGAAGAGTTAAAAGGCCAGCTTCTTCAATGAACTCACCCTCTCTGGGTCGCCTGCAACCAAGAATTGGATACCTTACAACGATGCAGGAAAGATCCGAGCTTATGCTGAGTTTCAAAGGCCATGTTCACTTAGGAACCAACTCTCTCTGGATTCTCCTGCTGAGTTCCAGCAGGATGATGGGCTGAAATCCCACCCCCAAGTGAGACACCTGTGTGACACCAGCTAGGTATGGCTGAAGAAGGGTAAAGAGAGAACTTTGTTAAATGGAAGACTGTACCGGTGGGAGCTGGCCTTCTCCAGATGCTCGTTTAGTCATACAGTAGGAAATGGGACCCTCCACCAAATATAGTAACATCACGTCAGTATCATTAAATAATCTCAATGTGGCTGATTCTGACATAGGTACAATGATAGTTTTTCTCATATTGTTCATGCTACAAAAGGGTGGCAAATAAACAATTCATGGTCTTAGTAGCCAAGAAAAAAGAAAAACACCTAGATTCATGGCTTGGAAAAGCAAATGCTAGGCATTCCTTCAAAAAACAGACATGCTCAAGTCAGCATTGATGTTTCTTCATTTAGGCCTAGGATTCTTAGCCTCCTTGTGTAGGTTGAGACCAAGTCCCTCTGCAGGAAAAAGGTTATTTTCAAATTCAAAAAATGTCAATCATTAAAATCTACTTCAACTTTAGCAAAAAGAAAAAAAAAATCAACAAAAAGTATACTCTGTATGCTGGGATTCCAAGGTTCCAACACTCCACTCCAAATCTGTGGGGGGTTTCTTTCTTCTGATAATTCTAGAGCCTGTTACCATAGAAAGGCATTTCTTCAATGGCTGGTTGTAGTTAGTTCATGTTTTTCAATCAAAATTTGCAAATGTATTTGTTGCTGTATAGTGATTGTTTTGCAAAATAAAATTGCTTGTCATCTGATTGATGGTTTCAGATTGTTTCTTCTTCTCTGGGGAAAATTTACTTATTTACATATATATGTAAATATATAAATTTTTACATATTTACACCATCCCTTGTTTGTATAGAAATGCAGTATATATACTGCTCAATCCAACCAAAGAAAATTGTAAAGAAAGGGCCACAGTTATCTGCTGAATTCCTGCTGTGTGTCAGTCTCTAGCACTACTGTATTGGCAGAAGGTTATCTGTTGCAAGTGACAAAAACTCAAATTGGCTAAACATAAAGACAAATTTATTGACTCAAGTAACCAACCAGGCAGAAATATCTGCCTCAGGCATGGTTGGATCCAGGCACTCAAAAGATGTTATTAAGAATCTTTATTTTCCTAACTCTGGATCTAAGCTCTCAAAAGATGTCATTAAGAATCTTTCTTTTTCCAAACCTTAGATCTGCTTTCTCTGTGTTGGTTTCATGCTCAGGCAGACCCCCTTTAATGATGGTCACTGGAAGCTCCAACTTTCACAACCTGAAAGGAAGCCTCTTTCCAAGGAGCACTAATTAAAGCCCAGTCTAAAAATCACCGAGTTACTTGGGCCACCTGCTCACTTGTGCTCATTGGCCAGGCTTGAGTCACATGTCCAAGTCTATTGCAGCTAGTTGAACTACGGGAAAGAATTGTGGAGAAGAAATGTTCCCTTCAAAGGAAAGTCAGTCTGCCACTGCCAGAAGAGGGAAATGGAGGCTGTGTAGGTCAGAAAGACAGACATCCTCTACATCCATACACCAAATTCTCCGTATTCATCCTTAAGGGGTTTTTTTGCTGCTGATTGTGCTAAGGCTTCACCTGGGAGCTTGTTAAAAAGGCAAAATTTCAAGCCACAATCCAGGCCAATTTACAACATCCCCCACAGGGGATTCATCTGCACATTAAAGTTTGAGAAACACTCACCTCATCACTTCTCTCTAATGTGCTGAAGGGGAAAGAACTCAGTTGCAGCCCAACAGGTAAGAATTATTCCTCAGACTGCTTGACTAGAATGCTGCAGTTAACATAGGGATACATATATCTTTAAGAAAAAATGTCTTCAATTTTTCTTGTGTGTAGATATCCAGAAGAGGGATTACTGGGTCATATAGTAGCTCTGTGCTTAATTTTCAAGGAACCTCCATACCATTTTCCATAGTGATGGCAGCAATTTGCATTCCCACCAGCCATGTCTGAGGTTCCCCTTCTTCACATCTTCTCCATCTTGAGAACAGCCATTCTAGTGATGTGTGAGGTGGTGTCTCATTGTGTTTTCGATTTGCATTTCACAGCTCGCAATGTCGAGCACTTTTTCATGTATCTGTTGGCCATCTGTACATCTTTTGTTCTAGTCCTCTGCTGATTTTACTTAGATCATTTTGGTTTTTTGTTGTCGAATGATGTAAGTTCTTGATTTATTTCAGACATTAGCCCCTTATTGGAGATGTCATATACAAATATGTTCTCCATTCCATTGGTTGTGTACTTGTTTTGTTGGTGGCGTCTTTTGGTGTGCAGAAGCTTTTTAGTTTGATGTAGTCTCATTCCTTTCTTTTTGTTTTACTGCCCTTGCCTTTGGAGTCAAGTTCACAAAGGCCTCTCTGAGACCAAGATTCTTAAATTTAGTGCCTATGTTTTCTTCTATTTATCTTATTGTTTCAGGTCTTATATTTGAGTATTTAATCCATTTTGAGTTAGTTTTTCTGTGTAGTGTCTGGAGTAGTTATTTAAAAAAAAGGACATGCTGTGAGAGACGTTGCCAAGTCTGATATCAAAAAGGGTTCAGTGGCCAAGTAGTGGAACTTGTGACTGGAGAAAAAACATCCTTTGGTATTGGAGGTTTTCCAGACCCCATACGATTCTATCCTGGCTGAAACCAGCTTCTGCCGATGTTGTCATAACCTTCTATTCAGTCTTCCTTAGCTGATACAGCAGATTTGCTATAATCTGGCCACAATCACTAGAGTTTCTTTTTAATAATTTTTGAAAGCTAACATCCATGTTGTCCTTCATGGAAGATTTTTAACCACAATGGATGAAGATATTGATTCACCTGGTAGCATGAGTCACAATGAAAGTCTTATTTCCTTTTTCCTTCACTAACAAGTTAAAGAAGAATTTACTTGCCTTGAGAACAAGTAGCTCAGATATAATGTAGGATGACAAAATCACCCTCTGTGTAGCTTATGGGGTGGAGTGGGAATGTGGCACTTGTAGAACTGTGACCAAAGGACACAGTCCAGCAACCTATACTGTTTTTAAAATACTGTCCTTGACTAGATTTTCCTGAGTATGTTGAAGAAGCATTATAGACACACTCCTAAAAGCTCTCTTTTTTCTTTCCTTTCTGTCACAAATATACCACAACTTCCACTCCTCCTCCAAATGCCATTAAAATCTCCTGCCGCAGTCCTGGATGAGATAATAGACTGTGGCCTCCAGATGTGCTTTGTTTGGCATGACAGTGTTTTCAAAATCAAGGAATTTAACACCCAGAAATATGCACACACATAAAAACACAATAATATGCATACACATAAACACACTCCCACACACATACAACACCAGATTTGGATGTTTGAAAAGTTAAAAGATGTGGCAGCCCTGCTCCTGCATCCCCCCATGATTACAACTGGTTGGAGCTGACCCATGGGCTCCCAAGAGATGGGCTTGCTCCCTCTGCTTGGCCACAGTGCCCACCCTGTAATTACTCCCTGCCCATTTTATTCACTTTCACTTTTTACTATAGGCATCAGCCTGTACAGAGTTAGAGTTTATAACCTCTGGCTTAGACCCACTTGTTTTGTTTTTCTTTATTTCTTCTTCATTCTGTGAAACAAACCCACCCAAAAAGAAGCTTCCAAACCTAGAGTGGGGGAGGGAAAAGGTTAGGGTGGGTAGGTGAGGTCTATTAAATCTCTTGTCATATCACATCAATGTTTCTCTCTTACATTGATGTTTCTCTCTCTCTCCCTCTCCCTCCCTCGTCCCCTCCCCATTCCTCTCTCTCTAAAATCAATACACATATCCTCAGCCAAAGCTTTAAAAAAAAATAATGGGCAGAGTCAGAATTTGAACCCAAGCAGTCCAAGATGCCTCGTCTGTCTAATGGATTAAGTTTGATCAAATTAAATATTCTAAGTCATTTTCATGGCAGCCATTAATAAAGACACTAAGTATATAAAAATCTCAGCATTACAAAGACTAGAAAAATGTATTTCTGTTAATTCAGAAAATGATAAAAAAGAATTATCAATCATAAACTATCACTTATGTAAAAAGGCACTCTTTTTTTGTAGATGCAGGTCATTCAATGACAAGTAATTAAATAGGAAGTCATTGGAACAAATTGTATGCTGTTCTCAAGTCATGGCTCATAGAGAGGCATCATTTAACAAGTAACATATGTCATGCAAAGATGAGTCAATTTCTAAAAATCATTAGTGAATTTATAAATTAGGAAAATTGGATGAACTATTTATGCTATAACAAACCTCATTTGACAAGTAATTTCATGATTCATATTATTTACAGAATAAAAGCAGTTTTTCTAATATATGTGGTAACATGATAATATACCAGTTGTTAAGTATTTTCACATCATAGTGATTCCAGAACCATGCAGCTTTCTTAAAAGCTGTTTTTCTTAATCTATTATGATACCAATAACTGAGTTAAATTTCTTGTTATCATAAATCTATTTTCCTTATGAAACAAGGATTTACAATTCACATCGTAAATATGAGACTACCTTAGATGTGGGATACACACTTCAGATAGTCTTAGCTGATTTTTAATATCAATAAACAAAAACATAAGTATTTCCATTCTCATTGGAAAACGAAGACACAAGTAGATACCTTTTACTCAACCATTTTTCTGCTTCAACTGTAAAAAAAATCAGAAAGCACTCATTATATAGACCCCAGAGTACCAATACTTTGTCTTTTCCTGTGTAATCAATGTGTTGAACAAGCATAACATATAAATTGTGATCAAAACACAAATTTACTTTCATCTCTCACAGTATCTTTAAAAATTATGGAAGAAATCTTTCCATGCCTCAAGCTGAAGACATGGGCAAATTTGTGACTTTTTAGTCATCCTCAGATAATAAAATGCTGGTGTTAAAAAGAATCTCAATTATTTAAAAAAGAGTCTCAATTCAGAAATTAAAATGTCCAGCCTATGGAACAGTCAGAACTATGATGCTTTTGGCTAGAGTGGTCTCATAATGTTTGTACCTTCTTAAATAGAAAATGAGTAAATGCACAAACATTTGTTGAGTGCTACAAGCTCATGTGCTCCAGTGCCCTCAAGGCATTCGAGAGTCAAGTGAAGGAGACAGAGCATGTACAACACAGTACAGCCCAGGACAAGCAATGATAAGTGGTAGAAACCCAAGTTCACATGAAAACCTATAGGACAAAGGGAGTCCAAGAAATAAGACTTTCACTGTGACTCATGCTGCCAGATGACAAAGGGGTGGAAGAGGATTTCTTAAGCAAAGGCCCAAAGACATGAATAAAGGACACAGTCTGAGAACATGAAATTAATTGCTGTATGTGGAACATAGGTGTGTCAGAAGAAATATGTCCAGTGGGAAAAAAGCTTGGGGACAGATTTTGGGTCTTTTATCATGTTCTTAAGTTTGGATCCTATTATGTGGGCTAAGCAGTCACTAAAGGTCTTTCAGAAGAAAGGACATGATTAGTTCTGAATCTTAGAAGAGTAATTTTAGCAACAATGTGGAGATTGAACTGGAGAGAAGCCACTAGAACTGGTGAAATCAGGGAGAGTTGACTACAACCTGAGCCGGGAGAGTGGCAGCAAAGGGCTGGAGAAAGGAAGATGCTTAAGACACTTTGAAATAAAAGGGACAAAACTTGAAAAACATAGGATGTGAACTGTTTAATACAGAAGTAGAAACGTGAGGTTTGTAACTTGGGCAAACAAGCAGTTGATAATGCCATTAATGAAGATGAAGTATGC